ATGCTCGGCGCGTGTCGGCGCACCACACGACAAGACAGAAGACACAATCACACAATCACACACACGCACAGACTAAAACTGACCTGATTGCACAGCAGCACATGACGAACCCTCTGCAGAATGTGCCCACCCCAAACCCAAAAGCTCTTGTCGACATTGCTTGGGGAAATGGGCGAACCGGGTTTTTATGAGCAAATTAGCTAGGCGAAATTGAGCCTAGCCCTGGCTGCCAAATATAGAACTGCTAGACCAACCAAAATGCTTAGCCCATGGTTTCCGACACTCATTGGCCGAGTACCACTTGTTCGCCCCCTCGCTATTCGCCTCTCTCTCTCTCTCTCTCTCTCTCTCTCTCTCTCTCTCTCTCTCTCTCTCTCTCTCTCTCTCTCTCTCTCTGTGTCTCTGTACCCGACCTGGAATGTGACGACCAAGTGCGAACAGAAGGTGTGTGGTGGGTGTGGTGGTGGGTGTGGGTGTGGGTGTGGGTGTGGTGGGTGGTAATGGTGTGTGAGGGTCGAGCCCACATGACGAGCGCAAGTCTCCTGCCACCTGCAGTGGTCTTTCTATCTAATCTATCTCTCTGCGCCACCCATCATGAGCACCCATGATCGCGGGAGACGAAAAGAGAGCAGATAACGTGGTTTTCCTCAGCTCTTACACACAACATACAATACAGGACAAGCAAGAGCAAGAGAGAAAAGAGGAACAAAGAAGGAAGAAAAGAGAGAGGGAAAAGAGGCTGACACATCTCTGGCCCCTCCGCCCTTCCCTTTCTACAATCGGTTGCCTTCTTTGGGCTTCCCCAGCGCCATTGGAGAGAGAACGGGACGGGAGAACAAATGCTGTGTTCCCGCGCTACGCGTCCACGCAGAAGACTATAGGCCCCCTCTCCTCCCAAACAAGCTTATGACGGGCAGCACATGGTCCCACACGGCTGACAAGATATGCTGTGCGACAAACATATCCCGGATTGGGTTTCTTTGGGGGTTGTTCCCGCAGGGGCTGAACGAGTTCAGGAACCCGGCCATGGTTCCACAACAGCAGCCCCTTTTGCTCATCCCACGGAGAGAGACCACCAGCTAACTAGGCCTGTATTTGGGGCCTTTCGTGAGGTCACGCGGCCCTCCAGTATTGGAGAGGGAGGCCAAGATAGGATGGATGGATGGATGGGGGTTGGGAATGTCTCGCCTGCACGTTGTCACTAGTTGGGATGACCTGCGTGTCTCTGGCCTCTGCTGCGGCCGCAGCCGGGGGGGGGGGAGGGAGGGTTCTTTTCTTGTCTTCGCCGTGGAGGAAGGAGCCAAAAAGACAGCGCGGAGGAACAGGACGAAAGGGCAGGTTTTGGAGCGGCCCGTGAACTGACTTGTCTTGTTTTTTTTTTGTTGACAACACAATGTCTGTTCAGTGGCTGGCCTATGTGCCGGAGCAGCCTAGAGAAGGAGAAGAAGAAAAAAGAGAGACACACAGAGAGGTATAGGTTGTTGGGGAGACGCTGGGGCTGGTGTCGTATCGCCTTTTCCTCTGCCCTCGTCGCCTTTCTTCCTTCAAGAGCAAACGCTCACTCGCCCACCCAGCCGTCCCGTCCATCTCTGGACCCGAGTCCAACGCATGTTGGGAGAGTGGAACTCATCCTCGCCGACCAGGACCGGCTTAGCTCATGATCGACACGTGCGTCGTTCATGATTTGCTCCTGCTCCTTCTCTCGTCCTCCTCCACAGCAAAAGAGTCACTTCGGACGAAGGCCAGGGGCACGTTTTGACGAGAGACAATGGGTACACACCTTCCCTCCTACTGCATTCTCGTTGGAGGGGAAGTGAGTGGATGCTCGGGACACACCGGAGGCCGGAGGCGGGAAGGGTTCGAGTGGCAAACCGTCGGGGACCACCTTGGTTGGGTTACGTCCATCCCGTCTTCGAGCCCGGTCAAGGAAGCAAAGGAAAAAGAAAAGGAAAAGAGAGAGAGAGAAAAGAAACATGCATGCATGCATACTTCCCAAGATGGGTTTGGCTTGGCCCGCTCTTGAGCCCAATCCCCGGTAGCTGTTGTTCCCCCTACCCTTTCGCTGCCTTTTTTCCCCCCCTCTGCTGCAGGCACGGGAGAAAGACCAGAGCTGATTCGATGAGAAATTGTCCGATGTGCGTGTGTCTCTCTCCGTGCGTGTGTCTTCCCGCTGCATGCACTCAGCCTGCTTTCTTTTCTTCTTCTGTTTCTCCTTTGGGATGAGGTTTATCTGTTGCTTTTCTCGCGCAAACAGAAAGCGAAAGAAGGGTGGGTGTGTGTGTGTGTGTGTGTGTGTGTACTCCTTTTTGCAGCCGCCAGGACGGGCTCGGTAGTTTACCTTGTCCGAGTCTCGGCAAAGCATCTTTTTTCTTGCCTTTCCCATCCTCTTCCTTACTGGTTTCTTTTTATCCTTCCCTCAGTTCGTGGCCCGCCCTCAGCCTTGCAAACAACCCCTGCTAGGCCAAGGACATCTCTCCCTTCCGGCCGCAAGAGAACAAGTTTCTAGCTCTTACACCTCGTTCGTGGTGGGCTCTGTGGCGTCCCCCGCTGAAATGACATCTTATCATGGGAGCTGAGAAGCGTGACAAAAAAACATGCTACTGATCCTGCTGGGACTCGAACTAAGACTGACCCGAACGCGTGGTAATAAACGTGGCTCCGAACGCCCGCATGAAACCGTCTCTCACTCTTTGTCTCTTTCATTGGCAGTTTTCTTGCCCTACGAGCATCCAAGGTGCAGAAGTGATAACTCATCACTCTCCTTCCCCCCTCCAATCACACCCCCCCCCCCCCCCAAAAAAAAAGAAAATACCCGTGCGGCGCAGCCCAGTCAATGTGAACGAGGCCTTGTGTGGCTCAGCCCTGCAAGGCTGACAAGTTTAATTTCCCACTACCCCTTCCTTTCTTCCTCCCTCCCTCCCTCTCATCCTCTCTCTCTCTCTCTCTCTCTCTCTCTCTCTCTCTCTCTCTCTCTCTCTCTCTCTCTCTCTCTCTCTCTCTCTCTCTCACCCCATGTCTCCAGCCAGCCAGCGGCACCCGAATGCCTTTTTTTCCCAATCCAGGAAGCCATTGGATGCTGTGGCTGAGCTGAAATGGGCCACGTCATTGACCTGCACCCGGCCCCCCCTTGGTCTCTACTGGTCCAGAGGGGAGACAGACATGACAAAGTCTCTCTCTGGTCATCGAGTCGCCCGCCCCCTCCCCCCCCCCCCTTTTTTTTCTTCTTTTTTCTGCTTTGATTTTATGTGTAAGTGAGCCCACATACAGCAGGGAGAATCTTGGGGGAGGGAAGCCAAACGAAAGATGATCTTTTTATTTATTTATTTATTTTCTTCATGTCCTTGAAAAAGAAATGTATGCCAAAGAATACTGCTATCTATGCTCCCTCCCTCCTTCGAAATAAAATCCTTCAGAAGAAAAGGAATGAGTTTATTTGATCTGTTATTTTTCCCACGTGGCTCTCTTTTTTTCTTTTTCTTTTTTTCTTCATTCCTTTCTGTCAGTGTAAGCAAGCTCTGTCCAACACACCACCACCAGGCACCCGGCAAGAAAGAAAAGCAAAAGCGCGCCAAAAAAAAAAAAGGGGAAGGAATAAGAGAGGACCCACAGAAAAGAAAAGAGAAAAGAGACAAAGGCAATAAAGAGGGTCTGATTGATTATGCACATCGCTGCTCACTGCTATGCCGATCCATGGCGCTGGCCTAGGTGTGGGGCTCGTTCCAATGCTACACCATGCACGCACGCACCCCTAAGCACGTTCCTCCTTCGTCTCGTCCTTCCGTTGTCCGGTTTTGGGTTTTTTTTTTTCCTCTTGGAAAGAAAAATAAAAAGACAAAAAAAAAAAACCAAAAAAAAACACGTGGGGGCCACGAAAGGGGAGAGACGGGAAGAGACGAGAGGAGGGGGGGGCGGGTCGGAGGATGAGGATGAGGAGGGGAGGCCTCGGTGCCGGGCGTGAATGTACGGTGGGGTTTTCCTCTTTCTCTCTTTTTTTTTTTTTTTTTTTGGTTTTGAGTTTTGTGTGTGCTATTTTTGGGAGGTTGCGATTCAGAAAAGAATTCCCATCGCTATCTTCAGGGCGTGCTGTGTGTGTGTTTTTTTTTTTGTTTTGTGTTGGGGGGAGGGGGGAGGGGAGAAGACAGGTGAGATGGGTCTATGTGCCTCCCTGTGTACACACATATGCATTGTTCCGGTGCATTGTTCAAAGATGGCAAGGAACTGCTGTTCCCATGATTCCTTTCGATCCATGATCCTTTTCTTTACTCCCCCTTCCCCATCCGCGCAATGGCTTGCGCCTGGATGAGAGTATTTAGCTCTGGTAACTGAAGCCACCTTACTCCTCCTTCCACTGCAATGAGATTTGATTTTTTGACTCCTACAATTCCCTTGGATGGCTAAAAGGGGTGACAATACCAAGCAGTCGGACTCTGCTCCTCTTGCTGGCTTCTCGTGCAAGCCCGGTATCCGGTAAGCCAGCGCCCCTTGGGTTTCTGTGCTGTCTGGTCCGCTGCAGTTGGATGGGGAAGAAGGAGAAGGAGGATAGAGAATTTGGGGCAGTAGGATACATGTCTTATCAAGAGAGGTGTGAGTTGGGACGAGAGAAAACAATAACATAGAAGATAAAACTCCAATTTCGTCATATTCGACAATGGGTATATGATGATTCTCACTTGTACCCTACCACACAGTCCAGATATGAATATACACAGCCGCTTCCTCAACTAGAAAAGACACATGTGACCGCCGTCTCCCCAGGCCTCTTGGTTTGCTAAGTATGCTTCATGATGCAGCGTGGTGTAGATGCAATCGCGCTCCTTGACAAATATATCATCTTGATCTTGGCGGGCACCGGCTGTCTCTCTCTTGTCTTTCTCTTCTCTCTCTCTCTCTCTCTCTCTCTCTCTCTCTCTCTCTCTCTCTCTCTCTCTCTCTCTCTCTCTCTCTCTCTCTCTCTCTCTCTCTCTCTCTCTCTTGAACCATCCCTTTACGCCCGCTCGCTCGTGGCAAAAGAAAAAAGAAAACAGGTTGAAAAGACGCCAAACCTCGCTCGTCCCTTTTTTATGCCCTGTCCTGCTGCTTGCTCCTTTGCTCCAGGTCCAAACCATGTCGTTCCCGGTCCGTTCCCTAGCCCCTTTGCAAACATGCCCACGCTCAGTCGTCCTTGAAAAGGAACCTGATGCATTATGACAAGAACACGAGTGAGAGATCCATCCTCCAACACCTCGCCATGCGTGTGATTCACGAAGGCCCCATCCCCAACACGTAAAAGTCCACCAACACCGGCCAAATTTGATACACAAAAAGGGAAAGAAAAAAAGAAGAGGGGAAAGGAAAAACAAACACCCCCCCCCCAAGAGTGGACTTTACAAAGAAGATAAATAAATGAGATAAAAAAAAATGGAGAGGAAGAAGGCGGGACAAAGGGGTCAAGGCAACCAACAATCATCAGATGATCAAGCTTTTGTTACTGCAGCCCGATATTGACCTCCTGTGCGACCAATCCATATATCCAGTTGGCCTCCGTGGCACTGCTGCACTGGAAGCACCACTTCTTCACCGTGCCGGCCAGGTTTCCCGTCTTGGGCGCGACGCCGACCTTGTTCTCCTCGTCACGTAGATCCTCCCACACGTTCAAGATGATGCCACGTGCGCCTAATCGTCCGAAACACTTGGACCCGAGCACGACATCCAGAACGATGATCGGCTTAGTCTTCTCGGGGTCAGCATCGCCGAATCGGAACGTCTTCTTGGGAATCTTGGTCACGATCACACGCTTCTCCATCCCGTGCCGGATGCGTAGTTCCTGCCTCATACCCGGCGGCGGCCGTGTGATCTGGAGGTTGCAGTTGCCGTGGTCTTCCCACTTGGTTGGTGTCACAAGCAGATGGCAACGGATCTTAAGGTTGTCGCTGCCGAGAACAACAGTGCGGCCGCTGCTGGCCTCTGTCATGGAGACGGATGGCGACCGCGGCGGTGTCACGTTGCCAGAAGAGGATGAGCCGCTTGTGTACAGCGATGCGGCAGCTGTGGTGGGGCGGCTCATGCTGCGCCGATCCACCGAGGACTTGTCAATGTTGAACGACGGGCTGCTGCTGCCCGTGAGACGTTTGAAGAGCGATGGCGCAGATGAGCTGGACGATGTGCCCTGTGACTGGGACACAGACTGCGACGGCGCGCGCGTCGAGGCCCGGTAGCTGTTCCTCCTACCAAACCAGCTACGGCGGTGGCTGCTGCTCGACTGACCGTCAGGGTCCTGGGCGGTCGCATCCGGCTGCCCAAACGAGCGGAACCTGGCTTCTTCCTCAAGAGCCTTGTACTTAGCATTGTTGAGGCGAGCCTGGTGGACAGCGGTGTAGAGCGTAGACCCTTCCTTGGTAGATGTCGCCCGGAAGCGGAAGATCTTGCCGTCAATCTTGGCCAGCTTGCAGTAAGGCCGGACCGGAGAGCGGACCTCGAGGTCAATAACCGTGCTCTGCCGGATCATGACGATGGGCGTGAGCTCGAGAGCAATCAGCGGCTGCATACGGGAGAGGTCTGCATCGCCGCCAAACTCGGACGATCCTGATGAGTTCAGGGCTCCCGTGCCGGAGACAGGGTGCATGGACAGAGGGTACGCCTCGATCAGGCCTGGAGTGACGACAATCGAGCATGCTTCGTGCCATGCGTCTCCCCACTGCCCCTTCTTGTCGGACCAGTACGAGATGGCGGCGATTGCCTTGACGGTGTACTCCGGGTCCTTTGCGCCTCCAGGACCCAGCCGGCCATAGAGACCAACCTGGGAAGCTGAATGGGACGGGGTGATGCTGTTATCGGACACAACCGACTCTATGCCTGATATGGCGGACGTTTCCTTGATGCTGATAGCAGGCTGTGTGTCGGGCACATCAGCCTCGTCCAGCTCATCGCCCGACGACTCGACATCGGAGGCGGAGTCGCTGTCCGACTCGGAGGAGTCAGAAGAGACGTCCGAGGGTCGATACTCATGCTTCAGCGGCGAAGACCCACGTCGTCTGATGCGAGCTGCAGGGGCCAGCTCGACTGGAGGGCTGAGAGGCGCCGGCTTGCCCGTGGATAGAGTGCGGTGCACAGGGGGCGGTGGTGCACCGTCCTCGCGGAATGGCTTGCTGTTGGGGGGCGATTTGGTGAGCTTCTTGGGGTCAGGCCGCATATCCTCCCGGAGCGGTGTGGTCTCAGGTCTGCTCTTCCTCTCGTACGACTTTTGCGTGGGTGTTCGCTCTGGTGACGGGCTGTGCTCAAACGAAGACGCATCCGCTGGCGGCGTCCTTGGGGTAGACGGTGTGCTTGCATGCCGCACATGGTAGCGGCTCGGTGTGCTGGATGCACGTGGCTCCTCCGCTGCGCTGACTGTTCTTAACGGGGCTGGAACCGATCCCTTGCGAGGAGACTTGGCTGGTCCCGTCCGCTCACCCAGGGGTACATCGGATTCTTGACGAGGTGAAGAGGACGCAGCCGAACCGTCCTTCATGGTACTGTGGGTCATCTGCGGCGGCACTGGTGTCGTCCCGAGCATGTCTAGCCAGTCCAGGACTTGCTCCTCGAGATCGGTCGTCAGCGTCAGCAGCTCGTACCACTCCTTGCCATTGTGCCTGCCACGGACCATGAGGACAAGGGCACCAGGATAGTCACCCCTGCGGGCGGAAATGGCCGACTTGGGGATGGGAGGGAACAGGAGGGAAAAGCGAGCATGTCCAGTATCTCGAATAAGGACATCGCCTCTGTCCGTAGGGTCCTTTGGCTTGTCCCGGTAGATGAGCTCGACCTGACATTCGAGCCTCTGCCCGTTGGAATGGCAGATGTCCATGGAGAAGAAGTCTTTGGCGTTGACCTGTCGAGTCGGGTCGATGAGTACCCCTTCCATGGGCTTCAGGTTTCGCAGATCGGAGCAACGGCTGGTGTCTGTGTTGCTGGCGTCTTCGTCTGTCTTGCGAGCAACTTCTTCCCGGTACCGTCTGCGGGCCTTCTCTTGGAGGGTCGTGAAGTCGTCGATCACCAGCGCAAGTTCTGGATGCTTGATGCCGATGGCGCGTGCGCCACGCAGAAGCTTCAGGAGCCCTCTAACCCGTGCCAGTGGTCTCGTCAAGAGGCGCTGGAGATCGACGGGCTGGCCCTCGGTGTCCACGACATCCCCAGCCGCGTTGCGAGGCATCGCATTGATCAAGGAGTCCTCGTCGTCCATCCTTCCCGAAGCCGGTGCAAGGTTTACGATGATACCTTCAAAGCCCAGCCGCCATGCATCCAGGTACTTGTCATAGACCGGGTATGCCGTAAAGACCCAGGTGAGGATCCTGTCCACATCGTTGAGAGGCGCCCACTTGTGCAGGGCCTTGAGCTTTTCCAGGGCGACGCCCATGTTGACCACAGCCCTGCCGAGGCTGTCTCCTCGCCCATCTGACGAGGCGGAGAACAGATCCGCCGCCGAGCCCCCCTCGCCGTGGACTGCCCTTTTCAGCAGCACGGGGATCGCGCCGTCCACCAGGGTCTTGAGCTCCCTCCGGTAGAGGTCCTCGTCGATGGAGAATTCCTTCAACAGATCTTCCGCCGTGACCCTCTCCAGATTGCTGGTCCTCCGCCGAAGACTACTGGTCGACTTGATGCTGCTGGCTCGCACAGGGCCATCTTGGTCCGGAAGAGACAGGACAGAGACGAGATCGGAGTGTTTGGTCAGGCGACGCTTGAGCCCAGGCCCCCTGTTTCTCCGTGAGATAGCACTGGACCTAGTAAGTGCCGTCGTCTGTGTCACGGTGGATTCTGAGAGGACTGTCATTGTTTCCGACCCGACGGTGCTCTCCGACCCCTCCGAGACGATTGTTGATAGTTCGTATTGCCCGTTTGTCGGTGGTGGCCGGTGTCTAGGGATGGCCGATGTCATGTATGGCCCCTCGGTATTACTGCTCACATCAGTAGAAACATAGGAAGATTCTGGCGAGGGCGATCGTCTTGGTGGATCAACTGAGCGGACATGAGGGTCTCCCTGGTCGTTCTGCTCCACATAGTCCGTGTAGCTCGACTCCGACTCCGTGTCCGTGTCCTGGTAGCTGGAATAAGCCTTGGTAGGGATTTTGTGTCCGCTGGACTCTCCTCTGAAGAGGTTGTTGAGGGTCTCGCGGAGGGGCGTCTTCGCCGAGGGCTGCTTGAAGGAATTGATTTTGGTCGCCTTGCTCCTCTTGAGCCCTATCGGTGTCTGGCTGACCGGCTCGGAGGGTTTCCTCTGCGCCTCACTCTGCAAAGGTTGTTCTTTGTCTTCTTCCTTACTGACGCGCGGAGAAGGCTCAGTTGGATCCGTCGGAGTGGCTGCTGTTTTTTGCGCGATCTCGGCCGATGCGCGCCTGCGAACATCCTTCTCCCAGTCTTTCTCGACCGACGTCCCCTTCGGGGCTGGTTTCTCGACAAAGGGGTCGACCGTCCCATTCAGCCACTTTTCGATACTTGGTGGCTGGTTCACAACAGGCTTGGGTGGGTCGACTTTCTCGTGAACGATCTCCTTGGCGCCCGTCATGATCTTCTTGAATGCATTGGGCACCGCCTTGAAGCTGCTGGTGTTCTTCTGAAGCTTGGGCCGCTTGAAATGGTGGTGGTCTGCGCCCAGTGGCAGATCAAGCTCGCTGAAGGCTGAGTTGCCGAAGGGGATGTCTGCGAGTGACTTCTCCGGTGCGCTGGACGGCTTGTCAGATTCGTATCGGGAGTCCGACTCGTGGCTGGTCCATGAGCCCTCGCCATCCGAGTAGGTGATGGACGTCTCGGTGGCCGTTGGGGCCGGCGCCGTGGCGCGACGCATCGTTCGCGTAGGTCCTCGGGACTTGGACTTCCTAGTAGGAGTGTCTGTTGCCGCATCCTCGCTGTTCATGCCGTCCCTCCCAGTGGGCGTCCGCTCGCGGTCTGCACCGGGCGCGTGAGCCGTCTTGTCCCTGGACGTCTTCCTTGGAACACGACGAGGCTCAGAGTCCGGCACGGGGCGGACTCGGATCCCGTCATCAGGCAGTGGCGAGGTCTTGATCGGCTGGACACGAATTCCATCGTCCACGCGTACGGGTTCCTTGTTCCTGCGAGTAGGTTTGATGTTCAACCTCTCGTCGCCGCTCACGTGTGGACTCGCCGTCCGCACAGCCTTCACCCGAATGCCATCGTCCCCAGAGCGACTACTACCGGTTGCCCAAGTGCGTGCGCTGCTCTTCCCATCCTCTTCTACTGTGATGAGCTCTGGACCACGCCCATTTTTCACAGTCGAGCCGTCCTCCTCCACTGTGATGGTGGCTCCACATCTGGTGGCGTATTCGCGAGCCGGTTTGGGATTGTCTGGTATCTTGGGCGGCGCCGGAGACGCAGGAACCTCGACTTTCATTGCCCAGTCCTTGACCCTGTTCTGCGTGATCGATGGCTTGTTCAATTTTGGAAAACTTGGGCTGATCCTGGCGCCCGGCCCGGCAGTTGCCTTGGGAGGCATATTGCCCTTATTCCGCTTCATCCAGTTGTCGTCACTAACGATTCTCTTTTTGGGCGGAGCTTTGGGACGCTCGGCGGCGGGCGTGGGCTCCTTGGGTGCGTCGTCCTTTGTCGTGTCGAAGCTCTTCTCTGGAGGTGGAGGTGATGTCTTGGGCGTGCCTGTAGATTTCCGCCTCGACTTTTCCCTAAACTTGATGCGCACGCGGTCCTCCTCTGTGACGCTCTCCTCGTCGACCTGCACGGCGACCTCGGTGGGCTCGCTGGCAGCGTCCTCCGGGTTGCCCGTCGCCATGGCTGCAGCATTGTTCGCCTGCCACTGCTTCACGCGAGACTGCACCCCGCCAGGCCTCTGCACCCTGCGCACAGCGTCTTGACGCATCTGCTGCCGCAGTTCCTGCCTCACCGCTGCGGTACCGACGCTTTTCCGGCGGGCAGCCGCCTGGCGCGCTGGTGATGGTCGGCCGAGGAGGAAATCACCCAGCAGGCTGGGCTCGACGGACTTCTTCGTTGGTGATTTCCGAGCCCCAGCGCCGGGGCCGCCGGCTGCGGCTGGAGCAGTCTTGGGGGTTTGTCCGGCGGACGTCTTGCGGTTGGCAGGTGTGGCGACGCCATTGTTGCCAGGTCGCTTCGGGGCAGGAGGGGTCTTGTTTGCTGCTGCAGAGGCCTTCCGAGGGCTCGTGGGTGGTTTCTCGTTGTTGCCCTCATCGGTTGATGCTCTCGCAGGGGCCATCTTCTGCGGTCGAGAGGGTCAGTATCATGCAGACGTAGAGAGACACCATAATCTTCTATCCTATGCTCCAGCAAGGAAAGAAAGAGAGAAAAACAGAGAGGGTGAAGGCCCAGTCAGGGTCCTCCTGCAGGTGCATCTATGACGTGGGCCCACACTGCAGGAGGCAGAGACAGAAGAAGAGAGAGAGGGAGGGAGGCCTGGCTTTAGGCCAGGGTTGGGTTTGTACGCACCTAGAAGGCCCACATGCTGCTGTCGGGCCTGTGTGACAAGGCAGGGCGACAGCGAGGATCACCGAGTCGAGGAGCTAGGACGAGTAACGGCCGTGAAGGAGAAGAAGAAGACGACGACGATGATCTTGAAGGGTGTTGAACAAGGGCATGCCAGGCTCTTCTTGCTGGCAGGGTAAGAGGGAATGGTTTGTTTACAATGCTGCTGGAAGCGGAAAGTATCGGCGAGTCAAGAGGGACGGGCAGTGGAATGAAGTGCGGCTCGTTAACACCAGTTGTTGGGTTTCTGATGAACCCGAGAGGCTAAAACGAATCAGGATTGCAATGCTGAGACGGATGACATGGACAGGCGCTGATCCGATGCGACGATAAGAAAGACTCGAGGTCTAGAACTGTTTGCCATGAGGGAAAATGTAATGGTGCCAAGAGGCGTTGCTTGTGGTTCAAATTGCAACAAGATGAGAATGAAGGAACGAGCAAAGAAAAAGATCAGAGGCCAGCAGGTTCTAGAGAATAGATGATGGGGAAACAGCCCTGCCAACCAACAGTGGCTTCCTCCTGTACAGGTTCACCTGGCACAAGTTTCGGGCGCCGTGCAGGTTCTGTGCTGTTGCTATTACAGGTAATTGAGTGGCCCTGGAGCCAATGGCAGAGCTTCAGACAGGGTGGGTAAACAGAAGCACAACCCCTGTCAAAGCGGCTTAGACAGGCCTCCTAGGGATCCTAGCAAATGCCAGGATCACAGGTGCCCCACCAAAGCCCCAGCAAGCCTAATCGTGCTTGCATGCTCACCAAAAGCAGCCCCCCGTTGTTCAGGGCCGCCTTCTACTGGACCTGGTCTAACCTGGCATGTCTGGCTAGACCCCCCCAGCTTAAGGTTGTTTTCTTTCCCCCTTCCCAGCCTCCTCATCCAGTGCAAGGGGAGGAAGAACAGGGCCAGATTCAGATCCACTTCCAACTTCAACATGATGGAAGGTTTATTTAATTTTCGTCTCTGTCCTCTCCTCTACTTTTATTTTGCTTCTTAATCTCCTGCCTATCTTGAACAAGATAACAAGAAGAACAAGAGCCACAACAACAAGACGGATTTGCAAAGATCTCGGGACAACAAGAGGGGCACAATGAGATGATGCTGGGATTCATCAGCAGTAGGAAGGCATTAGAAGCATGTCATCATGGTGTTGTTGCCCAGCCCTGCCAGGGTCTAAGGACTCGATGAGGGGCACAAACAAATAACATTCAGCAGCCACTCATTCAGAGCACTCACCACCCTCCTCCTCATGATCACCATCACTGCCCACCTTCCTCCACTCATCCGGATCCTCTTGTACCACGTGTTCTCATGTATTGATTTGCTATCGATTTCTCATTTCTGACAGTACCAGGTGGCAGTCTCTTGGCTTTAATTTTTTACCTTTTTTTTTTTTTGGAGGAGGAGGAGGAGGAGGAGGAGGAGGGGTAGGGGGAGGGAGGAGTTGCCCTCTGATACGAAAAGAGTAATTTCCGGTCTTCCAAGGTCAGCAGCAAGTTTTGGTGTCTTATATCAGACACCCTCTATAACGTCGAGTACCATAGTACGGAAGGTACTGCTACGCTACTATCGATACGCACCATGCCTCCTCATTCGTCCACAAATTCCGTTTTATTCGCGCATCCTCAGCTTGCATCCTCGCACACACAGCCAAAAGAGCGAAACCCCCGACAAGCCTGGCTGTCGAGAGTCCTGATCGGTGTCACATTTTCCTTAGTGTCACCTTTCTACCCGTCCCTTGTCAGCTGCTCTGGTGTGCTGAGACAAGTCGACACCCGATTCTGAGGTGGTGGACGACCACACGCCCTGGCACGGGAACAATCTGCCTGCCCACCACCACCTGCTCCAAGTCTAGGTCTGAGGAGTCGTCTATTGCCTAGTTCGAGGGTAAGACAACCTGTTTGGTGAATTGCAAGGTGTTATGTGCCCTGTGGAAACTACCCCAGACCCCGATCGACACACCCGCTGCTTCGTATCGGAGCCGGATTTCGGAACGTGAGCTATCGTCCCACAATTAGGAGCCAATGTGACATCGATCCACCGCGAACCATGAAGCCAGTCCAACATCATGGTCACGATACTTAATCTCCACTGTCACGGTTCTCCTTCTTCGGACCCTCCAGACACGCGGCCAGTCTCCTGTACGGGCTGTGCCAGGTGATGAGGTCTAGGGTAGTATGAGGAAAAGGTTGGCCTCAGAACATCGTCGTCGTCGTCGTCGTCGTCGTCGTCATCATCATCCCCATCATCATGTGTTGTATGTTGCACAGGTCTACCCTCTGGCGACAAGTTCTGGGTCCCAAGAAGGTGCCGTACAAGGCAGTGCAGACATCTTCGCAAGAATGTATCTGCTATGCTCTTTCCCAAGCGATGATCGAAGACAGATGAAAAGCCAAACAAAACAACGTGGATTTTGACTGTCATTGGGTCTCGATGATTTCGACAATCTGTCTAACAATATATTGCGGCAACTCGAGCACCGAGCGTCATTTCGAACTATACGTTCCTGAGGATTTGTTGCTGTTCCTGGATTGGACTGCATACGCACAACATCCATATCTTCAAACAGAACCTCAACTTCCATGGCCTGCCATATGATCTTTCAAATTGCAGTCATGGCCTTTGAGCTCTCGAGATGGAGATGTTCGGGTCGATTCGCTCTGCATCCTAGTGGGCCCTTGCTGTGGACTGGGCAAGACGTGCTCCAGGATGGCTGAGATCCACTCGACCTATCTGATCACCATCGCTGCCGGAGCCTTAAGACACAGCAGAGCGGGCTATCGCAGCTGGACTCCCCTTGAGATCAAGGCCAACGCTTCTTCTGGTCTGATCGCAGCTCAAGCGAGACTTGGGACAGGAGATAAGGCCAACAGACCCCTCCCTCAGGTTACATGTCACTGGTGAGCATGACACCTTGGTGGGCAAATCTCCTGGTGATGGTGGTGAAGAAGATGATGATGAAGCGGAAGATGAAGGTTCAGACCAAGATGAGCTGGATATTGACTGGAAGCCAGGACTCCTGCTACATGATGAGTTGATCGTGCTTTCAGTACTGGGGCACACATGGTATCTAATGCTACACCAAGATAACCCCAATCACTGCTCAACACTGGCAGTATGCAGCCACTAGTGAATACAAAAAACAAGAATCGTCCCTGTCCTCCCCTGGTTTCAGGGTTATGGTCCGTGGGGGTCACCTTTGGCCCCTCCTTCCCCGTTCCCCCTCTCTCAGTCTCTCTGAAACCTGTTGTTCATGCCCTCTGTCACCGCTATCATCATGCAAAAATCATGATATGTATTGGGCAACAGCACGAGTCAAGAGTGAGGCTATAGTCCGGGGGGGGGGGTGTGCAGTCCTAGTACGTCCAACACCTACTTACGCTGAGAAGCCAGTGTGAACGCTTGGAGAAGCACTTCATGTCTCCTATCATTCCAGATGGTTACGTTGGAAATGTCTTAATTTACAAGAAAGTCACTTGGGCTCTGATTGGGACGGGGGCGGGTTTCAGGAAATTCAGTATTCATTCTGGGAAAGAAAAGAAAAAGGAAACAGAGGCTTACGTTCCACTTGAGACTCACATGGCGCCCGGGACCAGCGTCAAGAAGAGTATTTACCTTTGCAGGAGCACGGTCTGCAGCGCCTGCGCCTCGTTGCTCAGGCCGAGCATCGCGAGCAGGTCAAAGACGTCAAAGTCCGCGGCCAGACCTCGCTTCCGGCGCACCTCGGCGTCAGAGCACTTCTGGATCGCCTGGCAGGTCAGAGAGAGAGGCCCATCGCTGGCGCGCTCACAGAGCGCGACCCACAGCCTGGCAAAGGCGACCACCTCGTCCGAGTCAAGGGTCGCGGCGCACTGGCGGAACTCGATGGTCCGCTGGGTGGCAGGCTCAGCATAGAGGGACTCGTCAAAGTGCCCAAAGTGGTAGGCCAGCCTACCGGTTAGCATATGCCCAGAGAGCAGGCGCTGGACGACGCCGGCGCGGGTGGCGGACAGGATCTCCGCGGCACAGCCGATGGTGGTGGGGTGAGAGATGGAGGGGTTCCTGAAGACTGCGGTGCCTGGCGTCCAGGAGATGATCTCGATTGGGTCTTTGGACGAATAGCCATTGAGGGCACCGCGAGGGATGATGCGGTTCTCATCAAAGGAAGACGTGCTGGTGCTGGGACAGCTGCTCTGGGCGGTGATGAACTGCTCGGACTCTGTCTCCACGCTCGACGCCCAGCTCGGGAGCTGCTTGTCGAGCCTCCGCCGGGCTTCAAACTGCGTCAGGCCCGTGGCGACGCAGCTGAAGTCGCGGATGCTCGGGCAGTGCCTGTTGCCCAGCCGGTGCTCCGGGTGCAGCTGACTGAGGATCGGGTCAGCCGCGAATAGGAGGGCCGCGATACGACGCAGATCCCTGGCATTCATCCAGTCAAAGCCCCGGCCGATGTGGAAGTGGAGGCCACAGGTGGGCGTTGTCATGGTCCAATACTCGTTCTTCAGGGCGTTACATACCTTGCGAACCTCTTCGAAGCTCTGCGGATTGTCGGACCACAGGGCAGGTGAGGTCACCTCGACGGCGATCCAGCCGACGCCCTTATAGGGCAGGGAGATGTCCAGATCGCCTGGGAGGCAGATGGAATCGTCGCTGTCAGCCCACCACTTGCTAAACATGTGGAATTCTTCGAGCTCGTTGGGATAGAAGATGCACGTCGGGGTGCCTTGATTCAGGCCGAGGCGGTCGAGGGTTTTCTGGACATGCTCGTACGCAGCCTTGACACCGCAGCTCCGCTCATTGGAGTCGAGGAAGATTTCATCGTCAGCAGGAGGAGGAGGGGACATGCCTGGGTCTGGCTCTGGCTCGTTGGGGACGACGATGAGCTTTCTGTAGGTCTGGTCAAAGTCCTCGGCGTCGAGGGGCAGCTCATCTTGCTGGGACTCCTGGATGAAGGCAACGGCGAACTCGAGCTCCACGCCGAAGCTGAACCTATTGTTCGGGTTAGTGGCTGCCATTTGGGTCTTGTCTTTCTTCTTATTTGCTCTTTTTCCCTTGCCCCGCCCTTTCTGTGCTCGCCTTCTTATTTAGTGAAGGAATTTTATTTTATCCATTTGTGATTCAGACCTGGCGGACATGACTGCACTATATATGGTGATCGAAAGTCAGTGACAAGTGGACTGTTTGGAGTCTGTAATGATCATTTCCCAGATCAACATGATTTCTTCATTGGTATCAATCGTGCAGACAATGCCACTGAACCATTGAATGCCTTTTCACAGTGGTAGCTTTTGTTTGAAGTACGGTAGAGCAATGGAACGTGTATTGCTGTCAAAGAAAAGCCTTTCATTCTTGATTCCATGTTCCCAGTTTGACCATAGTACTGTCACTGGTTGCCAGAGGCTGGACAACTCATTGTCTATCACACAATATTGTAATTATGTGTCTGTGTCCGAATTGGGTCATTACCATTTCCCCCTCCCCCCATTCACAAACCCCGAAAGAAAAAAGCAGACCAACAAAGAGAAACTCCGGCACACCAATTTGGAAGGTATATCCCTTGTTCTGTTCCTTCCTCGAACAATTCAACTCTATAGAGGGAAGGAGGTGAGCTGTCGAGCGCTTACATAATAAATAAAGTGGCCAGCCAATACTGATTACAGTAATTACTTCACCGCCCAGGCTCACGAAAATCCTACATCATCACGCGTTTTTTGCACTCCTGCTTAGGACGATTGACAGGACCGAAATGACTCGTCAGCGCCCATGATAGGGCGGCTGAGGCGGATGTGGCCAAGGTGTCAGGCTCACTGTATAAGCCACGGTACTTACGACCTCATCTTGCCTTTGTGCTCTTTATTTTTTATTTTTCCAACATTTTTTGGTGTCCTTTACAGCCGCCAGATCCGACCAGACGAACGACAGACACCCCACGCCCATACCCTCTTTTTATGCGCTTCCCAAATTCACTAGGCAGAGACAAAATCAAAATGTCAGTCGAGAAGGACGAGCAAACATTCCCGAGACCCGCCACAAGAAAAGGCGTCTCTGAGACGCGCGCCATGCAGGTACTCGTGTACTATGTACGATGCTCCCGCGGCTTTGTCGATCTCCGCCGTGCCTGCCATTGGCCAGCTAGACGGATAGTCTCTAACTGACTCTCTCGGATTCTCTCGGTCCTTTCTTGGATGCTGCAGCAGCTCGTAGAGTTTGTGCCCAGCTTGTTTCACCAACGAGGAGGAGGGGAATACTGAGGGGTGGACGGGTGGACGGACGGATTTTCATTCGGGAATAGGACGTTGAGTCAGGAGCCCCAGTCTCCGCCATGGGGCAGATCGGCTTGCGCGGATATCGACGAACCGTGATGGTGTGCAGGACGATCAGGTGCCCCTCCTATCTACGACCCTCTCGCCTGCCGAGGACGAGATAATGTGTGCACTGCCGAGAAGCATCACTATCACTCAATCTGCCATGGCTGCATGAGGACCAGAGATTACCAGAATGGGCAAACCGTATCCTACCCTGGGGGGACCGACCCTCCTGTCTCACATCATCGCGCATACGCCTCTCCACACACCTTGCCAGGCCTGCCAAGGGCCCTCCCTGGACCTTTGGACTCTTTCACGCTCTCTCTCCTTCTCTTTTCCCATTTCGTGCAGACGTCCGGCCATCATGGGATTTTGTCATAGGCGCGCTTTGCGGTATTCTTGTTTTCGTTTCAATGACAAGACCATCCCACGCTCGGCCCATCTCAATTATAACCGTCACGCTGCACGCACGAGACAGTCAAGAGAGGGCTCCCCCCCCTTCTCAACCCTGCGACAGAATTCTCCAGTTAAATTCCTTGATTCGCCTTTTGGATAAGACTTAGTCTGTCCATCTTTCCCAAGCCATAAGCGGAGTCCCATGGTCACACACACCTCTCTACACACCATCCCCCACCATGCATGATGCCAAATTCGGCCAGTTCGCGCCTCATGCGCCTCAAGGGTCTCTCACCCCCATTCGGAATTTTCTTGTGGTCATCCCAGACTAGGGGAGAGATGTGCCAGTGTATCATCCTCTTGGAATGAAAGGCAGCACGTGAGTGGTCTGCGTGGCCCTCCTGCACCTGGTGCGGTTCCAGCGCTACTACTTTAACCAGCAAGGGTATAGAGGTAGTAGCCTGTTCCGTGCAAATGCCAGTCGTGCCAGTGTGCCAAAACCCCAGTCACCAGTGAGACCTGAGACACTGCCTACGAGCAGCTGAGGCTGCGCAGGGCACGCGGCCGACCAAGCTGTGGAATGCTAACTTTTTTTCTTGATTTCTTTCTTTTTCACCAGAGGCGGTCTTGCCGGTGACCACCAGCCCTTTTGGATCCTCCACACACCAGCCTTTGGGTTTTCAGCTCTCACAAGGCGACCAAGCGGGCCCGCTTTGGGCAAGTTGGTGGCTTGTGGATGAGCACTACGAGCCCTTGGTGGGCTGTGGATGGGTAGTCATGGCGGTGGGATGTCTCTGACTTTAGACTACTAGGTCTTGCAATGTTCGTGATGGCTGATGGTGTGCATGCATGTGTGCGTTGCATGCGCGTTCCGTGGGGTCAAGGGTAACTACCAGGATGGGTATAAGAAGATCTGGATGATCAATCTCCTTTCTGTCGTCCCCCCTCGAGTCATGGTTACCCCATCCTCCTTCACTCTGTTCATGCTTATTTCTATCCTCGTATCCCTCGTCCTTCTTTTCTTCAAGTGCCGGAGTAGTTCATCTTCTTACTCTTCTTCACCTTTAGGAGAAGAGAAGTCTTAGAGGCTGACGAGCTTGTTGGTCATATGTGATATCCCTCTGGTGCCTCCTGACAGGTCAAGTGAGCCGGCAAGGCCGGCGGAATCTCATATCTCTCTTTCTCTGGTGGATTGGTTGAGAAAGGGTTCGCCTCCGTCTTTCACATACGAGACGCCCGCCCTGTCATACCGGATGGCTATCGACCTCACACCGATACTGAGAAGGGCGTAGGATCACACATCTGCTCATATATATTGGACGGGGTGTACCCACACCACACACAAGCACAAGCACAAGCGTACCACGCACACCCACACCACACCATAAAATATATATAAGATCCACATCTAGAGCCATCGTCAGCCATGCCGAGGACCACAAGGAATCAGCCCGAGCCCTCACGGCGTGACTCCTGGCCGCCTACACAGATTTCTCTCTACCAGAGCATCGAGGACGAAGGCAACGATACCAAGATGGCCGCCCGCCACCGCGAGTCCCTCGCCGTTGATGACGACCCTATCAACTCCTTCCTGACACCCACACCCCTCCTCGAAGATGGTGACACCGACGACGACATCATGGACATGGACATGGATATGGACATGGCCTTTGACGCAGGCATCGAGGACCCACAGCGGCCCTCGCCCGCCGTCCGAAGCATCAGCCCGTCTAAACTCACCGGCGGCCTGAGGCCACCACCATCCCCAAGGACACCAACCCCGCCCCATTACCTCAGATCAGGCTCCAGGTCGCCCCCCTCTCGCAACTCTCCTGAGATTGCCACCCCCAGCACAGACATGGGAGGCGCCGACAACGACTATGATGACGGAGAAGACTACGTCCGCCTCACACCACAGGGCTTCACCCTGGCCGCCCCACCCCTCACCCTCCGCAGCTTCATCTCGCACGGCAACAAGGCTCGCAAGTCAGGCAAGTCTGCCGCTGTGGCCGCCGCCAAGGCACGAGAGAAGGAGCAGGACCGCGTCGCCCTGGCCATGGTTCGTGGTGGCTACACGCCTCCGACGACAGGACCAACGACAGCGCATGATGATGATGATGATGATGATGATGATGATGACGACGACGTTATGGTGGGTGACAATATGTACCTGGCGCCCAGCCCATCCATTCACCACCACCATCATCAACAACAACATCACCACCACAGCAGCAGCAGCAGGCCCAAGATGGCACCCGCAACGCGCGGCCGCTCGATGACCTCACTGGGCCGGCCCGCACCCACGCCGCTCTCGCGTCTCCCAAACAGGCCGAGGAGCTGGTCGGGTGCGAACGACAACATGTACCACGGGAGTGGTGGACGTCTCTCCCCACGGGCGTGGCGGGAGCCGAGCCCAGATGTGTGGAGCATCGAGGAGGATGCAGAGGGAGAGGTGTTGAGCGAGATGGAGGGGGAGGTGGATGCGCCGGATTATGTTCGACGAACGGCTAAGGCGGGGAAGAGGGTTCGCTTTGCGGCTATGAGGGAGGAGATTCCTTGAGAGTGTAAGAGGACTGGAGGAGGATGTAGTCGATTATGGTGATTGATACACACGATACTAGCATACTTGGAGAGATGGCGTTTTACTTGACTGCATGGGATTGTGTTTTCTTGTCTTTTATGGTGCTTGGACTTGGGAGGTCTTTTCTCGTTGGATCTGCTTGTTGTCTCTTGCTCTTCCTTGCTCATCGATTGGGTGCATTTTCATATCCTGGCCTCTGGGAGGTAACTAAGAGGGAAAGGCAACCAGGAAGGTATTCCCGGCGGACGGTTTTGTCTTGTCGCATCTACTTGTTTTCCCGTTCATCGCATCGCACCGCACCGCCTTGCTCAGGCAGCAGGCAACAACGGGCTGGCGGGCTGGTAATATCGTTACCCCCCCCCCTTGCGGACCTTCTTTTTCTTCCTTTCAGATGTGTTATTACAATCTGTACTTTATTTTACACACATGGCTTGGTCGTCATACTTGGTAGAACCTTGGAAGCTTTTGCTCGCGCATTACACACTGCTTCGCTGGATGGTGGGAGGAAGGTAATAAGGATGTAGAAATACAGAGTACAGTCTTGTTTTCAAGCTTTTTCAGTCTCTATCTGTGCTGTTTCTCTACTCACGTCTCTCTGCTCGCTTAGTGTTGATCTTGTATGTTTTGAGTCTTCAACGTCCTTTTTTGTGCCGATTCTATCGTGACTGTCAAGTGCAGAGTAGCTGGAAAAGGAACTTTGCCTGAGCTTCGATCTTTACACACAAATAAACACCTCATATCAACCTTACGAGTCTTACGAAAGCAGATTATCGTTTGACCTTTTCGTATAGATGCAAACAAATTTCCAAGATGACTGCGAGCATCCTGCTCCTGCAACAAACTTTCAATCCACTCTTGGCCAGACTTCTCTCTGTGGCAAGATAAAATCAGCATCGGGACGGTTGGTGGGGGGGGGGGGAGGGAGGGGAAAAACAATAACCGCGGAAATGAGTATCATAGGTCAACAATGGCTTGGATCTGGCCACTGTTGTCGTTGTCAGATTACATTCATTGCGCATCTTCTCCTTCTCCCTGAAACTCAAGGCTTCGATGGGCGTGCTTGGTCTCAGCTCAGCCAATGAACCTGCTCCGCCCGCAGAAGCTCATCTATAACTGGATAGGAGGAGCAAATTTGCATTTCTTAATTGGTATGATGGCTCTTGAGAGACGGGCCGCATCGCCCATGGCTTGTTGAGGAGAGCGAGGACTAATAAGAGACCCGTCCAGAAGGTTTCGGAGGGCCCGACACTATTCGATGTAGTCTACCCAGGGTATTTAGTAGTAGTTCGGCTGAGAGCAACGACTATCAACTCTTTGATCTGGTATCCTGCATATCCCTTGGTATGTTCGCTGCAAACCTTTTCATTAACATGAGATGATTCTCATCCAAACTCTAATATCCCCGTCTGACAGTCTCCAAACTTTGTCAAAGCGGTGCTGGTCGAGGTTGCTGCCTGCTTAACACCCGTACTATACAGGCCCACGATCACTGCTCCGATCCAATTTCAATAAACTCGGGATCTTTCAACACAAGAGTGTGGCTTCTCTGGAAACTCCCACATCCCGTCGCCACCTGCGCCACGCCTCCCGACCCACAGAGATGGCAAGGCGGGCTCCTGACACACCTGCTTCCGTGTCATGCATTGGAGGCGTGGGTAGTAAGGCTACACCAGACGCCACTCTACTTGGACGACCGTCTACTGATCAGAAGGCGTATTGATCACTCCACAGTCTCACTTGTGTCACGGAAATTACAAAGTCAATAGTGCAAACTCTTATATGGGCATAGTAGTGAGGCTGGAACAAACATGTCTGTGGACCTTGGATGACTTGTCAATCTATCCGCTGATATGCGGCGGGATGTGTGCGGCATGTTCTTTCTTTTGGTACCAACACAGTCATTGTCAATACTGAATGACACCTGGGTTAACAAGGCTTTCATTGCCTGCTTGTCTACCACAACAAAACTATACACAAGCACACAGCTGCCATGTACTTGATATGACAGAGATCCTACTGCCTTGAGCTTCAATCTTGCCTTGAGTCTGCCTGGTAAGGATCTTTTGGTCACGAGTGAGGTTGCCACTGTGCTATTATGTATGTGTAATTAGGTATTATTGATTACAGTGATGACTCTTAAGCTATGACTCCCATGTTATCACAAGGCATCCTAAACTGCCAGATGGACGTCTGCCTATTCTTACACATTGTCAAGGATGTAATTAACCCGGTTTTTTATGCATTTTAGAAAGAGGCATGTTAAAGAGTCACAGCCACGTGATTGCCTAATAAACATGCTCATTTGTGTTTGCTTGGTCTTCTGTGCACAACGAAACTTCAATGTGTCCATCTACTAAGCAATCCTTTCTTTAACATGAGGTGGAAGAGAGGAATGTTTGCAAGGCCATAGATCAACAAAAGGGCAAATACATATTTGCATTCAATACAGAATGAACATGCAACACTGGTCTCTATCAAGTTGGGGGGGGGGGGGGGGTTCAAAGAGGAAAAGAAGGACAAGTGAGAGAGAAAGTCGTCACGACCTACGGTATTCCTTGACGGAGTCGATCTCTTCATTCAACTTCCAGCTTCAACCTGCACCTAATGATGGCCTTTCCACGACCTGTTTATATTTTCCTTTTCTCCATGCCTTGAATATTTAGAACCCTCGCATCTGAGCCTTCCTTCTTTTCAATCTTCATCCTATGTTGTTCCAACATACTTATTCATTACTTCAGCAATCCATTGGGTCGTCTCTCCGGTGCTGGTGAGGAGGGTTAGGGTCAAGCGACCATTTGCGTGTACACATTAATGCTGCAGGATGGTCTTTCCTTAGGTTGGCTCTCTAAAGATGTGTACACTGTACTCTCTGAGCTGCGATCCGTCTTCTGAATCCCAGAAAGGGAAAACAGCAACCACAAGGACTGACTGACGATCGGTAGTAGATCCTTTGAGAGCATGTGTCTGTGCACGTGGCTGAAGAAAGAAGGAACGTGGACTGACGCGTAGCCGGCTACGTATTTCCGAACCTTGATTGACAAGCTCCTGCAGGCCTCGCTTCCGAGGTCGATCAACGTCTTTGAAAACCACCCCCTCCCCGCACGGGAAAGGTTTCAGATCCCAAAGTCGAACATATCACCGTGTTCAGAGTACGACAGAGGCTGGCAACTTACTGTACAACGACACGGCTGGAGGCATACAATCCACGAGCTCTCACACAGTACTTCAAGTTTTGGAAGCTTGACGGGACACAAAACACAAACACCCTCCCTCGTTGACTATCATAACCCAATACTATCCACAGGGAGGACAAGCAAGCTACCTTCAAGATGGGTGCTCACGACCTAGAGGAGACCATGTCCTTCCGCGCCATCACGTTCAACGTGCGCTACGCAAACCCCAGACCCGCCAAGCACGAGGAGCTCTGGAAAGTCCGCTGCCCCAGGCTCTGCACCCAGCTGCGCTTCGCCGTGGCCGGCCACCCAGCCGCCTTCATCAGCCTCCAGGAGGCGCTGGCCCAGCAGGTCGAGGACGTCCAGGCCGAGATGGGCACCTCGTGGGCCCACATCGGGGTCGGCCGCGACGACGGCGTGGCCGCGGGCGAGTTTTCGCCCGTCTTCTACAAGGTGGACGTGTGGGAGTGCGAGCGCGACAGGACGTACTGGCTCAGCCCGACCCCGGAGACGCCAGGCTCCCGGGGCTGGGACGCCGTGCTGCCGCGGATCGTGACCATGGGCCAGTTTCGCCACAGGGACACGGGCACGCGGGTCGTCGTCCTGAGCACGCACTTTGACCACGTGGGCATCAGGGCGAGGGCCGAGAGCGCAAGCCTGATCCTCAGGCTCACCGATGCCTGGGTCGGCGAGGTCACCGCACAGGGCCACGCGAAACCCCCCGTGTTCCTGGGCGGGGACTTCAACAGCAAGACGAGCGACCCGGCCTACCAGACCATGACGGCGCCTGGCACCGGCATGACCGACATCGCGACCCTGATCCCAGAAGGGAGGCGGTACGGGAACGAGCTGACCTACACCTCGTTCGACCAACCGGACCAGGAGCCCAAGCGGATCGACTTTCTGTTTGTCAAGGATACTTCGGCTATCAAGTTCCTCACGTATGGGGTGCTGGCCAATCGCTTCGACGATGGCGTGTTTCTGTCAGACCACAGGGCCACCGTTGCAGACATGGAGATTCCCGTCAGAGGGCAGCGCCCCTCGTCCTGAATGGGCAGATTGGGTTGTATGTGGGTGAGCGTGCGCGCGCGCGCGCGTATGTTATTCGTCTTGGGCGCATGCATACTCGGTTTGGTAGGGTGTCACTATTCGCGTTATTTCTGCAGGACATGCAGAAAGGGTGACGAATCATTCATCAGCGAGCTGATCAGGAGCGGCGGTGCCGTGCAAATTCTTCACTCTTCTCTCCTCTTAGTGGTGGCGTGCTTCCATGTTACCAACCCTTTCGTCATCAGCTGGTACGCGTCTTTTTTCTTTCTTTTTCTCTTGTCCTTTCGTGTCAGGCTGAGGAAGAGACAGACGTAGAAGGGGGGGGGTTAGGGTGGGGGTCCGTGAGGAAAAGAGATCTCGATACGGGGAGATATGGTCTGAGATGCAATGGGAGAGAAGGGGGTGCCACAATCTAAGACATCATCATGCGGCCCTTGAAGAGCCACGAAAGGCTCATGAACACAAACGAGCGAGTGGGAACAAGGAGCATGCAGCAGCCACAGACTGGACGAGGTAACTCGTGTTCACTTCGTGCTTGTGGTCTGGTTCCCCATTTGCAAAGGACCAGCGTTGTCCATTGCACATTAGTGGATAAAGCTACAGCGACAGAAGCCACCCTCCATATTGTGCAACTCGTTCTTGTTCCGTTCCCCCTCACACACAACAATGATGCCAACTCTTGTTCAAAAATGGTCTCTTGGAGATAATGTGAATTCGGCTGTTTTTGTTTTCTACGCTTACTTGCGCAGCACCTACAGCAGTCGCTAGAGAGTCACGCCAGCTACCAAAGAACGGCTGGCGTACCTCTTCCGCGCGCTGTCAATGTTCTTGATCTGTGAGGACACTGAGAAAAGAACCACGTCCTCCACGCTGCCGGGAAAGCAAGTTCAAACTTGGGTACCCGCTGAGATCTGCCCGGTTTCATGCCAGCTCTGCTCTTTCAGAGGTGAGGCAACACAGATTCCCAACTAACTATTGAGGCCAACTGCCTCTGGCACCGGCTCTCAGGACATGGATGTATATTCTTTAGTGCAGCGCGAGGCTGAGTGCCGAAGAAGGCGAAGAAAAGGGTGGTGTGGCATGATGTAGTGTGTTCCATCCATGGGGGAGGAAAGGGGGAGGGTGGTTGTGCTTGTGTGAACGAAGACGCTGCTTCAAACCCGTTCACGACACCATATGTAAGTACGTGTGTTTGCCCCCCTCCTTCAGTCACCCACCCAATTGGCGATGGACAACACAATCAGTTTATTGCTTACCTGCCGTCGTTTGTCGCAGTGAATACCACCTCCACCATCCCACCCAACGGCTGGTGGCATGACGGAACAAACTGTCCTCCCGCCCCCGCCCCTCTCTGGAAGACAGATTTGGTGTGGATGCACAGCAACACAATGGTGGTGGATGGTTCACCGGGATGAAATGGGAGAATTAGGGTTGGTAGGTCAAAGTCAACAGGAGAACCCTTTCTCAGCCTCAAATCAAGACGGGCGAACTCTTCAACGACCCACCCTAAGGTCTCATGATTTCCCGCCTTTTCCTTATCCTCAACTACTGCTCACTTACATCCACCCCATTCTAGACTTGCATTGAGGACCCCCCAGCGTAACCGCGTGCGTATGTCTAACAGCAGCACAGCAGTCAAGCACACGGCTGAAAACAGGTGAGATGACGCTCTCCATGCGTCTGGGGTGGTTTCTACACGCGAGCCCCCGCATTAGGCCGTGCATCATTGGTGCGTGTATGTGCATACCACGATGGCGAGGAGGAGGACGAGGACCCAAGGAGATTGGCGTACATGTTCCCCCGGCCTTTGTTCTGCAGGGTGGTGGCGAAGCAAACGTCTTTGCCATCATCACAAGGGCGCGTGCATCCGTACTGGGTGCTGTCATTGGAGCTCGGAACCGTCTTCTCGGGGCAGCGGTGCAGCGCAGAAGCAACGTCGCGCAATCGCGCCCTCATCAGAGAAAAGTCAATCTCGGGTAGCCGTCTCCGCATATACCATAGCACAATGCATTGATTGCATGCGGGGGACAAAAGCAGCCCATGCACCTGTCGTCTCGTTAGGTCTTTGGACTTCTTGCGCATGCACGGTGACTGCTTTTGCTGGTACCACTCAAGCATCGAGCATGGGTCTCACTATGAGTTGTCATGTGCAGTAGTGTGTGTGTTTGTGAGACGAGGGAGCTGAAGATACAAGACGACGTGTGTGTTCGTTTTACCGAAGAGCCCAGGAACCTGATCAAAATTCCCTCAAGCGTGGCGCTTTTCTCTCTCGTCTCTCCTCATGCCGGAGTGCGTGTCACTCTGGGATTGGATTCGGCTTCAACGGGCTGGCGGGCTTACTGATGAACTCACCTCTCTAGGGACGTGAAAAGTAACGACGAAGGAAGGAAAGAAAGAAAAAAAAGGCGGCGAGACAGGATCTCGGTCATGTGGGCAGAACAAGGATCATCCAGACGCAGACGGCAATCCTCTTAGTAGCTGCCTAATCGAACCATAGTAACGACGAAAGGGGCAGATCTGGAAGTTCGTTGCTATGGCGAGAGGCTATACTAGGTAGGCACAATAGTGGCCAGGAGCCATGACCAGGGTCTGCAGTACAGTGCTAGGTGCCTACAAGGTGGGTTTACCTTCATTCTTTCCACCCTCCCACAGGGTCAGCATGTATCAGAGGACTTTTCGTCGTCATCAACAACGATAATAACAATTATACATTCTATTGTGGAATCAGCAATCTTGTGTACATCATCCACTCGTCATTTGATACAAGCCTTGCTATAATACGAATTGTTCTGCACCCACGCGGTTGCTCCCTTGATGGATGTTTGGGGGGGTGGGTTGTTTTATATTTGTCCTTGAAATGGCAAGGCGCGGGCTGTATATGTGGATTCTGGCATCATGACCCATCCACTACATCTTTTCTCGAACCTGGGTCGAACAAAGTCGAAAGGGACCACGATACAGTACCTGATTACGTAGCGTGCTGGCCCACTTTCGGTGGTGACCCGTCACTACAACGAGGTTGGGGGAGCATTGAACTGATCAAGATCTCAGAAAAGACTACAGTTATCGGTAAACATTAGGCCTGTCCCGTCTTGGGATGGTAGATACTTGGCAAAGACCAAGCCTGCATGAGATCGTGTGAACGGGATCATCCCTCTGCATCCTGATGCAATGTTGCTGCGTTGGCATTGTCTGTCAGCATGAAGCACATGTGTGCCATACGGGGACGGCGTCATTCGGCAGGACGACGACGCACGTGAGTCTGTCGGCCAAATCAGCCCCAACCTATCCCGAGGAAGCCGTTGAGCCTCAAGAGAAGAAAGACCCACAATGGCGCATTTGACCGTGGGGAGAGAGAGAAGCGTTAGAGCTGAGGGAGGGGCCCCGACCTGACTGCTCTCGCATTACGCATTGTTCGAGTCCCGATCCTCCATACCGATCGGATCAGATTCATGCAACAGCCTGCACACTGCGACCAACGAGAAGAGAGCCCAGGGTGCGGTCCCCCCCCCCCTTTTTTTTCCTTCTCTTTCTTTTTCTTTTTATAAGCCAGTCTACAGTACACAAGAAGCCACCTTTGCCTGTCCAGTCACTTCGCGTCCTTGACGTGCAACAGGCCACGTCTCTCTTTCCTCGTTCTTCTGGATCTTTCCGAGCCACGAAGGGGGTTAGCGCCTTCTGGGGCTTGTGTCTGCTTGCCTTGTTGGCTGGTTTTTGTATGTGTCATTGCTGCCTGTCGTTGGTCAGGAGTTCATCGTGCGCGCATATGTAGGACATCAGAAGACTCTCTTTCTGGGAATCATTGTTGGACGGACTCAGGTAGATGGCAGGCAGGCAGGCAGGCAGGCAGGCAGGCAGGCAGCTTTTCCCCCACAGGATCCACCATCGCCAAGGGTGAACGATGCAGTGGACAGTACTAGTAAGGCGGGAGACAAGAAGAGAGTGACGAGTGCATGCATGGATAGGCCCACTGGTGCTACCTGCTGCTGCTGCTGCGATATGATTTGGTAGAAAGGACATCTTCGCGGGACAAACAGCCCATGCCCTACTGCAGGGACGGCCGAGACCTTTCCTCTCTCTCTCCCTTCCTTTTCTCACGACCAGGCTCCCAGCTTTTTTTTTTTTTTTTTTTTTTTTTTTCTATTGTGCCAGACCATGGGATGGATCTTTCCCTCCGTCCTCGCTCCCGTCCCTGCTCCACACTCATCCACCCACCCACACTTACACTCTGCCATCCACTACCATCCTTGTCCGAGGCTGCCTGCATCTCGACATGGGAACAGCAGCATACATCTGAGATCTTCCATTCTTCACGATGGGCCCGACGCTGACATACTGTAGCAAGGTTCTCACAAAATGAGGACTAACTTTTGCGCGCGATTTCTTTGTTATTTAGCACACAGCACGACTACAAAGTTCGGATTCAGATTCCGGGGCTGGTGCCTCCTGTTACCGGGCCATGTTCCGGAGACACCCCCCCCCAGGGTAAGACAATTGGTGGCCTGTCTTGGTCCTACTGCTGCTGCTACTAGTACTACTATAGTATGCAGTAGTGGGAGTAACATGTCCTAGATCGTCAGCGCCTTCTGGGGAGATGGGAGGCGGACCATCTGCTGTACTCTGCTCGGCTGTCCCTCCTGCTCAACCATCAAAGGAAGGGAGTGAAGCAGGAAATAGAAGAGTACAGAGAGGAAGAGAAAGATGGAGAAAGCCGAAGAAAGAGAGAGGGAGGCGGAGGGAGAAAAGAAGGTTGCGTTGCAATGGTACACGGTTTGGGTTGTCTGGCAGCTTGCGACCCGAGCAACGCTCTCATCGTTGCCATCCATTAAGCCCATCCATCCATACGCTGCTCTTCATTCTCCCGGGGGTCCCTTCTCGTCAGCCTTGGATTTTCCCTTGGCCGTCGCTGTCGCACGCCCCTCCCTACCTTCCTTCAGCGTCACCCTGGGGTTTGAATTGGGCTTCTTTTTGCCGCTCCACATTGTACCCCAGCCCATCTGTCCCCTCCATCCCAACCCATGCGATCAATTTATCTGGTCGTGCTATGTACCATGCATGTATGTACCATGAGTAAGTACTAGAGAGTGGTACTATGTACTGTACGATGGTACTTTGAGCACTACTATACAGTCACTCCCCCCCACACCCACCGGCACCAGGACGAAAAGGGCGAGAATAAAACTCGCAGCAGCCGCTGCGTTTCGTTCCCGCTTCAGGTTATTTCTTCACATTTGGTTTTTTCTTCTTCTTTACCTCTTTGAGTTGTTTCTAGTGCAGATTCAAGCTCACACATGTTTGGCTCTCTAAGTTAGATGACTGCCCATCAGATACTTTCCCAAAGACAACAACGGAAACAAGACAGACAGAAACGAGCATTTCCGTTCCTACAACAACAACCCGACTCATACCGAGTTTACATCGTCCTTCCAAGAATATGCAAGCTCTATAACGGCCCTGCTCCACCCGAGGGACCGACCTGCGACGTCAAGTTCCCGCCCCGAACCTTTTTGGCCCACCAATTTTTTTGTACTCGTCCTACTTTACTTATCTGAACCATTTCTCCCGGCCTGGGCCCCGGGTTTCGTACACATTCTACAGTCGCAGCACAGCTCTCAATCTTTCCTGGATTGAGAGTGTAAGTTGCCTTTTCCCAGACTCAGACCCAAGCGCAGGGCGACCCCTCCCCGCCTAACGGCCGAGTCAACCCAGTCAGTGTGCAGCGCCGTCATCGCCATCGCCAGCCCCGCTTTCGTTCGTCATGGCGCACCACCAAGAGAAACAACCTTACATGGAGGATGCCGACGAGGAAGGGAACGTGATTGATGATACCAAGACCTATGTTTCCACTGGACCGCCCAGTGTCAAAGAAGAGGCCAATGTGTCGAGGACAAGAAAGGATAACCATCGGCTGAAGGCAGCAGGGAGTGGCTCGTCATCACCGATGGGAAGTCCTCTCCACCTCGATTCGGACTCAAACAGCAACAACAACAACAACCACCACTCTAGCAGCCCTCGCAAGCGGGACGCGAGAAGAGCAAGGGAGTCTCGAGACAAGGAGAGGGAGAGAGAGAAAGCTAGAGAGAAAGAAAAGAGGACCTCAAAAGATAGACCAAAGCCAAGAACCAGCAGGACAGCGCTTCCAGTCCTTCAGACGACGACGACGTCGTCGTCGTCGCGGAAGCAACAAGGTGAACAGCCCAGAGGCAGCCCGACTAAACATGTGCCGAGCCCGATCATCACAGCAGCCGCCACATCAGGCCGACCAAGAGCATACACCTCAACGAACCAGCGACCGTCCAGCTACTATGGCCCTTCTGCCTCAAAACCGCCCCTAGCGAACGCAAGATATTATGCGAATGCCCCTCCTCCGCTGGGCACTTCGTTTCCTCCGCAGTCACCTTTTGTGCCGATTCCTCCGCCGAGCCCTGGACCCTATCTCCACGCCCCGTCGCCATTTGCACCACTACCGCCGCAGGCTCCCGATTATTTTAACCATGCCCCTCGCCCTCTGCACCGTCCAGACTACCGACGCCCATCGTCGGCATTGGGACGCCCTTCCTACCAGCCGTCACCAGGCATTGGCTATCCTCTCGACTACGACGACGACCCCGAAGAGGGTGGCGTCCTCCTCAGAAGACCCTCGCTGAAGACGAGGCCCACACGACAGGAGCTGGACGACCGAGCACGCATGCCACCGCCAGGCGGGCGCCGACCAAGCACGACCATCCAGACCCGGTCCCCCTTCTTCCCACCACCGCTGCCCATAGAGAAACGGCAGTCCTTTGGATCCATCGCGTCTGCAGACTACGACGAGGAGTCCATCTTGGATGATGAGAGCTTCTACTCACCCTCAGAGCAGGGCCTCCACTACAACTACCGACCACACCCGGTCCGGCGGCCGAGCATCGACCCATCTCTGCATGAGCAGGCCGTGACAAGCGAAGCCAGGCGCGGGCGGCGGAGCTCCCTGCACCTGGGCGGCCGCACGCAATCGGCGGAGCGCGACCTGGAGGACAAGATGCGGTTGGCGCGCAGCTACCAGGACAAGGTCGACGGTCCCGTCAACCCGCTGACCACCGACAGCCTGCGCCAGATCTCCAAGATCACCGGCCAGGGCGGCGGTGCCAGGAGTGCGACGAGGTCCCGTGGCGACAGCGGGTATGCGCCTACCAACAGGAACAGCATCGACATGATGGACGACATGCGGATCCTCGTCAAGGGCACGGCGACGCTGACGATCGGCGATGCCCAGATGGACGTCAAGGACGGCGCCGAGATTCGCATCCCGACCAGCGTCGGCGGGGACAGGAACTCGCGCGGGGGCAGCGATCAGGGCTCTTCGTACGCAGACGAGCGGGAGCGAGAGCGGGACCGCGACTCTCGGCGCCCTGAAGAAGGAGGACGACGGACGAGGCACGAGCGCGAACGCCTTGGCGGCGGCGGCGGTGGAGGAACGACGACGGCCACACAGCACGCTCGGGACAGGCGCGCGACCTCGAGGGCTGGTTCGCACTCGCGTGGGTACGGGCACGGGCACGGGCAGGCCATACCGGCTTCGCCTTACCCGCTGGAGTATGGTGGCGGGAGCCTGGGATCCCACTATTACCACTCGCAGCCGCCGTTGGCGTATGCGCCATATGGGTCTCACGGTTTTCCGTACCCGAGCTAGTTGTGGTGTGTGAGGTAGAAGAGGAGGAGGAGCAGAAGAGCAGGCGGAGATGCGTGCGGGTGTGAATGATTTCATTTATGATGGTATGACGAACGAACGAACCGACGAGCGAAGCACAGCTAATGATGATGATGATCTCTCTTCTCTTTCTTCTTCTTCTTTTTGAGCCCAGATTTTCTGAGTTTGTTCTTCTTCGCATCATGAGCTATTGGATGATTGCAGGCGAGCGAGCGAGCTATATTTTGCGTTTGTTTCTTTTTTTCCTTTTCCTCTTCTGTCCTTCTCAATCTTCATGACACGGCGATTCAAGTTTTGGATACCTCAATTGCTTTCCCCTGTCTTTTTTTCCCATTATGTGCGACGTTGTTCAGGCAACGAATTGAGTTAGGTGGGAGGGACGAACAAAAGCCTTCTACGTTTTATGAGGCTATAGCAGGAATGGGGCTGTTATAATGAGTTGATGTTTCTTCTTTTGCTACTCCTTCTCCTTCTGCTGTTTTCCATTTCTCCCTTTGGCTTGTGCGATGGTGTTCCTTTCTGGCATTGGTACGCAATCGCATGGCGTAGGGAAAAGACAAAAGAAGGATTTTGGATATTTTTCTCTCTTTCTTTTTCAGGCCGGCCTAGGGATATTGGGAAATTCTTTGGATACCAGAGGAGATGCTGTTATCTGTAATAGTCTTGTCATATTGATGTTATCTTGAGTGGTGGTTTTCATTTTGATATATACCACTCTGCTCAAACTTGGGGCTGGCTTTCGGGGCAGGGCGCGAGAGAATACTTTCTCTGTACTCTCGATGTACAGAGCACATTCTAGTCAAGGAACAGACAAAATTTTATTCCATTCACATGCTGTGTACAATTACTCTGTCGACAATGTTCCTTCTGTGTCTCTTCTCCTGAACAAGACCTTTCCCTCCTTCCTTTCCTTTCCCTTTTTTTCTTCTTCCTAACACCTCTCAGTTCGCATGCCATTTTTGCCTGATGGGAGGGAGGGGACATGATCCCCTGGACGCAATCAAACGTGCAATGGGGGCGGCTAGTCTTACACATCTGCCACATGTCGACTCCCGACTTGACAAGAGCTCCAGCTCCGTCGAAAGAATGGGCTTGCTACAAGGTGGACGGGAAGGAGGGCAACTCGAGGAACCTGATAGGTTGGGCGGTGCCAAATGGGGGGTGTAGGGAAGAGTACCTTGGGGTGTGGGATGAGAAATGCTAAATGGGCCCTAAGTCACTTACTGCACCGTACGTGAATGGGTGGCCTGTGCACCGTTGCCTGGTCAGAATGACGTCCTGTTGATTTGGCAGGCTTTTGGCTCGAGAGAACACCAAGCCTCGTATCCATAGTATCTATTTTGGATGAGATAATATAATATGATCCAGGGTCTATTGCTATCAAGGCTGTATGACGTTCTTTTTTCTTTCTTGGAAGGATCAGCTTGCTGTTTTTGTTGTTGCTGTGTGCACTGCATAAAGCACGACGGTACGTACCTTGCCTGGTGGGATTTTGCGGCTGTTTCCCCCCAGCTCCTCCCAACCACCAAAGAAACAAGGGTACGTGCAGGCCCAGCCACCGCGTTTCCACCGTAACAAAACCACCACCACAGACCCTCGGCCAACTTTGACGTGCAGGACCACGCACCCCATTTTATCGTCTGCCTTGCCATTTCAGCGAATGCACTTTTTGATCAACTAACGACAAACATACGTCCAAGCTCGTTTGTCGTCACCCATCATCAATCACAAGGCAATCCGTTCAGCAACGTGTGGCCTTGACGACTTCACTTGACTTTCAACACTCTGTGGTGTTGATTGTCCCATTGCAAAACGTCATTTGGCCCTTTGGCTGGTCTCTCAATTTGTGACCAGCCAGGTTAGCCTCATCTCTCCAAAGACCTCAGTGAGACACACATACCAACCTTTGATCATCATCACCAAAACCGAACGAAGCCCTTTCCGCTTCTCAGTTTTCCACGCAAGATGGCGCCCGCCCTCGCGTCCTACGCGCGCTCTCTCCTCACATCTGCCTTCCTCCACCCCCGTGCAGACGACGACGCCCTCTCCCTGGGACCCCGCAAGGCTCACAACCTCCTCGTCGCTCGGGACACCACCACCGACAGCAGGCCCGACCCAGAGAGCGGCATCATACACCCTGGTGACATCAACAACAAATTCATCTTCGTGCTCTTTGGGCTGATTGGCGTCGCCTTCGTCGCCGTCGGCATCTGGTTCTTCTTCTGGGCCCGCAACGGCGGCTTCTACTTCAAGGAGGACGACTGGGATGACTACAAGTCCACCGTGCTGCGTCGCAAGGGCCCCAATGGCACCACCCTCAGCGGCGCCACCACAGCGACCGACCTGGGCGGCGGCAGTGTCTACAAGGACATCTACGACAATGACGACGACAACCGCACCGAGGTCACCGGCACTACTCTGACTGGAATTACTGGCGGCGTCTCTGACATTGCCGGGCGCGAGAAGCGCCGTCAGAAGCGCGTCCAGAAGGAGCGCGAGAAGGAGCGCCGCCGCGAGGAGAAGCGTCGCGAGAGGGACGAGAAGAAGAAGCACCGCAGCAGGGAAGGAAAGCGCAAGGTTGGTGACGATGGCGGCGTTGTCGACGAGGAGGCCGAGGCAGAGGCAGAGCAATACCTGCGGAACTACCGCCATGAGCGGCCGGCACGCGTCGGCGGCATCAATAGGGAGAGTGACGCCAGCACCTGGGACGGCTCCACGAATCCCACCGAGAGCAGCAGGGGCGGCTACAGCGAGAGCGGCGTCACCGAGGAGCTGATGGCCAACCAGGAGCCCAGCCCGGTCAGCTCGCCCACCAAGAAGAAGGCCCCCAGCGGTGGCATCAGAAAGGTCTACTCGACCGCCGACAAGCGCGACATGCGCGAGACAGAGCGTATCCGCGCTGAGGCTCGCAAGCTGCAGGAGAAGGGCCGTGCCGCCGCTTCAAGCTCGGGCGGCGGGCCCCGCAGAACCTTTTCGTGGCAGCGCGACAACACCGTCACCGAGGATACCGCCATGATGGCCGCGCCCCCAAGCTACACAGCCAGCGAGGTCGAGTCGCGCATCCCTGGCAGCTGGGCCGAGAGCGACGTCGGGAGCGAGGTGGGCACCAAGGTCTACCAGCACCACATCCCCGGCCTGTCGTCTGCGGGCTCGTCGGCCGGCGGCACAGACGTGAGGGATTATGCCGAGGAGAGGAGGAAGAACAGGCGGAGCGGCGGGTACAGGCGGGACCGGTGAGGTGTCACAAATCAAACGAAAGGTGATTTTCTTTTCACGAGGGCAACGATAAAGGAATAACGGGCTGGCTATGGTCTTGGGGGCTTTGCTTCGGAAATGGGTTTCTTCCATTTGTTAAGTCGATCACGACATTACATTCTTCACTTGGGACACGGTCAATTCATGGCGTTGGTCATCAGCGACAGCCTCGCGGGGTAGCATTGTAGATAGCATGTACAAACAAACAATTCGAGGCATATTCGGTCGCTTGAGATGTCTCTTTTCCGTGCGATTGTGAGTGGTAGTATGGAGAATAATAGCTCTTGACGTTTGGCTTGTGAGTTGTGTGTCAGTGTAGCGATCAGATTTGGGCACATTGGACTGATGGTATCAGAAAAACCCTTCGTTTGAGTGGCTGGGAGCGTCTTTGCAGCCATGGCAGTGCTCTGGGCAGGATAGTTGTTTTCGAAAGAGGTTGGATATGTTTCTTGCTGTAGTTTTACTGTCACTTATTGAGATCAGCGCAGAAACAGCAGCGCCTAGTTTTACCCCAGCCGTTGCATCAAGAACCCACCGCCTACTTGTGCTAGGATACAGTGCAGTACAACAGTAGGAGGTAACCCTCCAGGGGTCCAGCCACCTAAAAGAGTCCCCCCTCGCCTAGCCCAGCCCCCCTAGACGCCCAGAACACTTACCCCGGATTGGCGTAAGGACTGCCCCTGTGCGATGCATGTTCAGCGGGACGGCTTACCTGCATTGCTGGCAACTTTAGTGCTCCTCGTGACAAGCTACCTCTGGAGACTTTATCCCCAATCATAAACTACTTTATCTTTCCTCGGCGCCCGCCCCCCCCCCCCCTTCCGACAGCTCAACACGTCGAGCTGATGCGATTACTACAGAACTTTAAGTCCACGAACCAGACCTTCCAACTTTTGTTCGCCTCGGCCTCATAGAAAAAAGAATTACCACAAGAAAATCCCTCCACACGCGCGACAGTTGAGACAGCACGGACATGGTGGCGGTGTGCTGTCCGTCGGAAGCAACACGACTTGCTCCTCAAGCCCAAGAATCTACTCCCTGGACATTATACCCAGCAGCATCCACGCACGATCACGACCACAGACGACCGCAGCTGATCTTCGTACTGGGTCGGTAACGCGCCAGCGTATTCCAATGCCACGAGCCGGGCTGGGTCTGCCACCGCCCGAGAGCTCCAGCACCTTCACACGATGACCCGCAGAATCGTGAGCTTTGTTCCCCGAGCACCACCACCACCACCACCACCACCACTGTCTTTCCACATCAGGGCCAGGCGCACACGCAAGGCAGCTAGAGACAGACAGAGAGAGTGAGGGAGAGAGCATCCATCTTGCTAACCATGGGCTGTTGCCAAAACAAAATAGGTCAGGACAATAGTCCAAACATCCGCCTTAGCCACCCTCACCTTCCTAGTCATCTTCTTCCTCGACAGAAATTTCCGAGTTCTTCCCTCCGCCATACATGAGTACATGCCACAGCACCATGCGGGATTGCTCATAACAGACATCGCCATCAAGTCCTGTTCCTCGGTCAACGTCTTTTCCTCCTGCCGCCTCGACCCGGACACATGGCATCGCGTCGAGAAGGATCTGTACCTGGGCCGCGCGCTCGTCACCAGCGCATACGTCCACGTCAAGCGCAAAAAGGAGGAGGAGCTCACCTCGGACGATAAGGTCGTCATCGACCTCGCCGTGGGGCGCCTCGACCCGGGCACCGGCGTCAAGGGCGAGGCGGACGAGCGGTGGGAGATGAGGGACGCGGGTCTCTGGATCAAGCGGAGCGCCAAGAAGAAGGCCATCGACTCCAAGCAGACCATCACTGCCGTGGACGTGCTGTTTGGCGACGATGCCGTCGAGGCGCGCGACGGCTGGGAGCTGCCCGAGAAGGGCACCCCGCTCATCCTGAACGCGGACCCGCACATCCCCTCGGCGCATCTCACGGTGCGCAGGGGCAGCCAGCAGGAGCCCTACAAGCCAGACCTCAAGGTTAAGGACAACGGGAAGTTCAAGATACTGCAGGTCTCGGATATGCATCTGAGCACGGGCGTGGGCGCATGCCGGGACGAGATGCCAGAGCACCCAGAAGGCGAGAAGTGTGAGGCTGATCCGAGGACGCTTGACTTTGTCACGAGGGTCCTGGAGGATGAGAAGCCGGATCTGATCGTTCTGGGCGGCGATCAGATTAATGGGGACACGGCTCCAGATGCGCAATCCGTGAGAAATTATCCCTTGGCTGAAACCCCTGGATATTGCGCTGTGTATCCTTGCTAACCTCTCCCACCCCTTCCCTCCTCCTCCTCTAGGCCATTTTCAAATACGCTCAGCTCTTTATCAAGCATAAGATCCCCTACATTTCCATCTTTGGAAATCACGACGACGAGAAAGCAGCTGGGAAGAGCCTCTCTCGCGCCAACCAGATGGCCCTCGTCGAGACCCTCCCCTACTCCCTCTCCAAGTCCGGGCCCGACGACATCGACGGCGTGGGCAACTACTACATCGAGATCCTGGCCAAGGGGAGCTCGAAACACTCGGCCGTGACGGTCTACATGCTGGACTCGCACTCATACTCGCCCGACGAGCGCCGCTTCAAGGGCTACGACTGGATCAAGAAGAACCAGATCGACTGGTTCCGGCAGACAGCGCAGGGGGTGAAGAAGAAGCACAGCGAGTACACGCACATCCACCTCGATCTTGCCTTTATACATATCCCGCTCCCGGAGTACAGGGATGAGGACCAATTGGTTGTTGGGGAATGGAGGGAAGGTGTGACGGCGCCGACGTATAACTCGGGTTTCAGAGATGCACTGGTCGAGCAGGGCGTCGTCATGGTCAGCTGTGGACAGTAAATCCCCCCTTCTTCTTCTCTTTCCCTTTGTTCTGTCTCACTAGAACTGACAAAAATCCCTTCTCAGCGATCACGCAAATGAGTACTGCGCCCTGTCTACAGACGAGTCCAACAAGCCCGCCCTCTGGATGTGCTACGCGGGCGGCTCTGGTTTCGGCGGGTACGGAGGCTACGGCGGATATCACCGCAAGATCAGGGTATTTGATATCGATACAAATGAGGGCAGAATCACCACCTGGAAAAGGGTCGAGTGGGGCGAAACCAAGCAGAAGCTGGATGAGCAGATCATCGTCGACGCAGGAAAACCGATCGCGGTCATGCAGGGCTGAAAAGAAAAAGGAACGGAAATACGAGGGTCTCTCTTTTCAAGGGAACACCGGGAAGAAGGGGGGGGGGGGGGTTCCATGACCAAAGGAAAAACGCATTTGAAACGGCCGGACTTGGATTATACCTCATTCTTATCATGATCATCATTCTTGGCTTTGCGTCGCTTATCCACCAGCTGGGTCCTTTTTTTCTTCATCATCACTACGAAAACGCTCGTCGCGTTAGACACGCTAGAACATTCTTAGCCTGCTTCCGACGACTTGCCTACTGTCTTGAATGTCATATTCTTTGAGAGCTGGCCTGCAGAGCTGGCCTGCTACTCATGGGCAATTACACACAAGCGCGCAGCAACAGGAATAAAAAAAATACAAGGAGGGGCGTTCCATGGCGTCACAAGGGGGGAGAGATTGTTGTCTCCTCGCATACCCCCCTCCCCCCTCAGCTATCTATCTATTTATCTATATACATATACACACACACATATACATACGTTTGATATCCACCTCTTTTTGTTGTTGAAGGGTTCATGGGCCCTTTTAAATTCGAAGATCCATGGGGGAATCTGCATCCTATGCAAGGACAAAAGGGCAGCAAAACAGACGAGCGCACAGACTTTCTTGTGTGTGAAGGGTGACAGCAGACAGAACCCAATGAAACGGGCCGGGAGAGGGACCAGATGTATTCGACTGAGGAAAGGGGGGAGGGGGAACACGGTCAATGAGAAACATGCCAGAGAGAGATTCATTATGGGTTCGGTGGGATGGGGGGGGGGGGCAACGGAATGAAAGATCTATGGCCTGTCACAGAGCGAGGGGATTTATCTCCTAGGTAGATTCGTTTGAATGGCGTGGACGGTGGTCGTGCCGGGTACCATAGGAGAGAATGAGGGGAGTGCGTGTTGTGCCCAACATGGACGGAAGATGGCCTACACCTGATCTACCTACACCCAGTAGAAAAAGCAAAAGAAAAAAACACCCCAGGGAGCATCGATCGCCTCTTGTTCCTCCTTTCCCCATTGGAATCGTGTCATTTTTGCCATTCAACCATTCGAGTATATATAGAAGAGCTCCTAACGAAATGATCTTATCTCGTATAGATTTCGAGGTATCGTCCGTCGAGGATTTGTAGCCTTGTGGTAAGAATTGAAACGCATGTCCCTAAGTAAAGCATCATCAACTCTCTCAACACTGACCTTGTCTTTTCCTTCATCAACATAATCTACCTTGGAAGCACTAGAACGCAAAAAGACACGGGTGATGTGGATATGAGTACGGATAAACTGTATTTCCAAATGATACCACGTATGAAAGGCCGTCGTCATAAGCGGCTCAAGACTTTGAGAAACTCCAACTTCGCCACGCCAGAAATTGATCTGTTCCCAAAGCATTTCATCCAAAACCTGCAAAATATCTCACGACTGTCGTTCACCTATCGGAGTGTGGTGTGTATCAAGACCCCACAGGAAAACATCCGTCCACCCTTGTGCGCCAATGCTCCATGTTCCCCTATCGAAAACAATTCTTCGCCTCCTGGTATGTGTCCACTATGGGATGTCGCTCGCTCTGTGCTCAGTGTGATGATGAATATCCGTTGTCGGTTATCACAGTCTGGGTATTTCTGCCGCACAGCTGCCCGCTGTCTATAACCCTGTCCTCCTGAGGCCCGTTGATGCGCCAGGTGTTTTATGCCCCCCATGCTTATCACCATCAGCTAAATAGTTGTCTACCCCCCCCCCCCCCAGAGATCTGGCGGCTTCTCATCGGTTTGACCTCGAGCTGTCGCTGCGGTCACGGCCGGCTCCTTGCCGCACAGCATCGCTGTAACTTGGAATTGGTGGGCTCTCCCGCCCCGCAGTATTCCTCCTGCTGCCCCGCCCGCTCGCTGTCACGGAGGACGCCCCTCTGCTCCGAGAGATACGTATGAGGGGTGCGTGTTCGTTCTCTGAGCTATCCCGCCGACTCTCGGCGTCAGATGATTCAGGGCTGGTATACTCGGGTGGCGGATGGCTCGGCTCCTGCAGACCAAGGCCGACCGATGGCACTGTGGTGGTTGCGTCGTCGGCGGGACCGGTGGCGGCGGCGCTGCTAGGCTCGCCGCCGTCGTCATCGTTGGGTACGAGCTGGGCGAGTGAGATGTCCGTAGGGCTGCGAGCAGGACCGGGACTCGTCGGAGAGAGCATCCTGAAGTTTCCGGAGCGCGTGCGACCGTGGCCAGGATGAGGCTCCAGGCCTTGCTGGTGCTGTGGTCTGAAGTACGTTTGGACAGACTGGCTGTGAGCGTGGGTACGCTGGGATCCGTTGTAACCATCCTTCCTGCCACTCTCCAACAAGATGCTGCCGGCCTCCGATCCATAGGGTGGTGGTGGGGCCAAAGACCCTGTCATCGGAGCCAGGCCCCATTTCTTGACATTGGCCTCAATAAACACAAAACCAGCCTGCCCAAAGTTGACGTGTACAGTTGCGGGTCCGTTGGCGCCAATGGCGGGGAAGAAATTGGGATTTTTGATGCCGTGTACGACGTCGTCCAACTTTTTTCCATTGCGGGTATAGAAGATGCACCCCGTTCGTGGTCGGTATCCACACCCGATCACGTCGCCCTGGCCAAAGGGAGGAGCATATGGTGCCTGGTGGAACGGTTGGTTGAAGCGCTTGTAACCATTCGAGAAGTAAGCCGCAGAGTGTCGGTGAAAGCCTGCCATTAAGCGTCAGTACATAATGCCTCTATTGAGATCACAGCCGAGGGAGGTCCGCTGTTGCCATTTATACCACATACCTGGCAGCCTGAACAACGGATAAGGCTTGGTGGCCATCCCGATCGCGAGCATGGTCGCATCAGGCTTCTCATAAATCTTTGCCTCCCAGTAGTAGACCTCGTTCTGTTTGGGGACGGGAAGGTTGGTCATGACGGTACACTCGGAGTCGAAGAACTCTATTTCTGTGCGGCCCTCGACGAAGCAGTTGGCGATCTCGAGTTCTGGCTCGAACTCCCATGCCGAGACACCCTTCTCTTGTATGGCTAGGTACTGCGATAGTGATATGTCGGTCTGCAGTGACTCGGCAGGATTGGATGTGACAAAGGCTAGTAGTGCGCTGTTAGCATCATGGATAACTCCCTCACTATCGCCCAAGTCGACAAGAGAGACAACATACCCTTGGCTCGGAGATACTCTGATCTCTGCATGTCGTCCATGGTCTCGAGGGCCTCAGCCTCCTCCCTCGCAAATGCCTGCTCATCATCGTACTCGCCAGGCCGACCGATGCGGTCGAGGAGAATGCGGCCTGAATTTGTGTATCTGAAGAAGTAGACGAGGACGAAGATGATGCCTATTAGGGCGGCGGAGCCGAGGGAGGACAGTAGCCCGATAACAACGCCATTCAAGGCGTCGGGCGATCTCGATGACATGGTCGATCTGTGAGCCGCGCGATCGCGAGCTGAGATAGGAAGATCGCAACACAGTCGTAGGCGCGGGGGGCGTTGTGGACTATGGCGAGATAGTAGGTCCTAGGGACTTTGATGCGAGGGTGGCGTTACCGCCGTGACGCAATCATTCGAGAAGGGAGAGTCGCTTCGCAGAAGGAGGAAACAGGCTGAAGGGGGAAGAGAAAAGGAGAAAGAGAAAAGGGAAGAAGGAAGTCAAACAGCAACCAGCTGGAATGAAAGTCGCCGTCGACAAGAGAAGAGGATGCCGGCGTCGGTGGAGGGAGGCACAGGTAAAGAGAAAGAATGGGGTCGTGTGAGTGGTAATGATGTGCGTGGTTGGTGGTTGGACTCTCAGAGCCGTGCCACACAAGAGCGGGACGCTGCGAAGCAGGCTCGGAACAAGGCCTGCTGCAAGTTGTTTGGGTCGATCCCGTCTAACCTTGGAATGAAGACCAATCAGCCCAAAGCAGTCTAGTATAGCTAATAGGTGGGCTTGCGCTGTGGGCGGCGGAGCAGGTTCGGCTGAAGCGGTAGCGGTTGCAGATGAGACGGCTGGCACCAGGGCAGCGTGCTGTCCCAGCGTACAGTTTCGGAGAAGAGGGCAAGATCCCAAGAAGAAAGATGAAAAGGCACTTTTTGCTTGACAAAAGAAACCATCTGAGGAGGTCAATAGTGTTGGGTAGGGGCTTTAACTAGTCGATGAGAAGAAGCATAGACAAAAATAAAGAAAAAAATCAGATCGATCAAGTCAGGTGAGAAGAGGGGGGGGATGATATCAATCATCCAATCCGAAGAGAAAGAAGCGGAAGAAGCGGGATGAGGGGGAAAGAATTAGGCTTGATGGCTGGCGGTCGAAGGTTCGACCACAGGGGACAATGGGGATGGGGTGTGGGTAAGTATGGTGGTTGTTGGTGTTGGAGAACAGTGGGCATAAGCGCTGTCAGGGTCGCCCAATCCGTGTGAATAGCTCAGTGTATTACCATACATAGTACAAGAATACTACGGTAACTGCTGGAGAAGGACCCGAAGCCCGCCACCTCCGTTTTACAGGGCCCACCTGCAGCGTCAGCCAAGGTATCCCAAGGTAGTCATGACCCGTGCACTGCTAGCTGCTACGTCAGGCCCTCACTGGAAATACTAACACACGTACCCTGTAAGGATACATAGAGCGTCGACATGAAGACAGCAATAATGCTGGCCCGCGCAGCGTGTTTTAGGAGTGGGATCTGGTCTCAAGACAAGCCATGGTCGTGGAAAAGAGCCCTGACAGGACAGGGGAGTCGCAGAAGGAACGATTTTGGTCAATGCCCCTATGAATTACCCTCATCTCATCGGCTTCCATAAAGAACCCGGAACATCAATGTCGAAATGAGCCGACTGGCCGTCAGTCCTCTGCAATATAAATTCCCCAGGTCGATCCCATTCCCTTCATTATATCTGCGTCACCAGCTCTCTCGAACCAGAACCTGGTGCTGCAGAGAGAGCCTATGCTGGATATGAGCTTACGACCCTCAGCGTATAGCATGAGAGCCCTTGGAACCCCACCCCTTGGCCCCTGCTCGTTCATGCTGGCTGCCGTAAGGCCGGGGCGGGTCTGGTGTAAAAGACCCTCTGTTGAGGCTTTGGCCCTGCGCAGGTGGTTTCATGAAAGACCAGGGCCGACCGGCCTCGCGACCTCTTTATCATATGGCGATACGCCAAGCTGCAGGACTTTTAATCTACCTGAGATGTCTCTCCAGAGGTCTCAACGTGCAGTGCATACTGCGATCTTATTTTTACCTTCATCACTTATACAGGCTCTCAGATCGCCGCCTGCCCCGAGTGGCTGGTTGTGTCAAGATCCAGCCATGCTCGCGTGCTGATGCTAATTTTGCATTTAAGCTTCTGGCTCTCTTTCACCCCTCCCCCGTCAGCACCTTTTCCTCCATGGGCCAATCTTTTGCCTCCATTGACATTGCCTGTCAGAATTGTGATCTCAACTCACAGGCTTCTCCGCCTGAAAAAACTTCCGGCAAGACGTGCATGCAACATCTCAGAATGTGACAACAATCATCATTGACAAGGAAGAGATCTCCCGTGGCCACAATCTGCCCCTGTGGACGCCAACTACACATTCTTGATCAGCACGAGGCACGTGGACACAAGGCAACGCCCTCCCGAGATGCCTCTTGTGTGTGGACGTGGCTGAACAGCTACCTATATTCTAGCTGCAGTGAAGAATGCATCGACACGGAGATGCCCTCGCACGCTCAAATCCGTCAGGTACTAACTAGAGTCTCTCTACGTGGTCCACTCGCCCGTTATCCAAGCAATTAGCTACCTTCTATGAGACACACGAAAATGGCCCCCTTTGAAAAGTTCGGATCGAGGTTCTGTAATTTTGCGGTGGTCCGGAAATTCGGCTGTGGCCCGTCATCTCGACCTTTGCAGGCCTGGGCTGAAAGACGATGTCAGACACTATAACGAAACCCTGCAGACCCCTAAATACAGCAACATTCCAGTTTAGTATTGCCAATTCGGCGTGGATACAAGCATGCAGCAGATCCTGTCTTGTACCTTATCTCGGAGTTTCAACATGTGCGAAAAGACAGTATGTATCTTGTATTCACACAGTGCATCCCGCGTGCACGGCCCACTCCGGGACAACCTCGGAACCCAAACCAGTAATATCACCATCGCTACAACCTCTCTTCAACACCACCATCTCCTATAACTATGCGGCCGCCATCGGCTCCTCACTACTCCCAACGCATCCGTCGTCGCACCAGCTGCACCCGCTACGCCGCCTTCGCTCGACTCCGGCCTTCCTGCCATCCCGCCCGGTACATATCACGACATACCTTCACGAACAGCTCTCCCCAGAAGCTCCGTCGCATTTTGCCACCCTGGTTACAATGCACCATTCAACAGGCTCTTCTCCTTGCCTCGCGTTGAGAGCGCCTCGCCGCGGGGACCGTGGGGCGTACATTACCTGACCGCGCTTACAGCCTGCCAGATTATCGCCAATAATGCCTTTGACGGCTATCTCGTTGCAGAGCAGGCCGACGGACCCCGGATCGTGGCAGACAACGACAGCATCCTCACACACAATCAATACTTCTTTATCGTTCCCGACAAACCAATATACGCTGTTGTACCATCGTTTCAAGAGTGGCAGTTTCCTGGAAGTGCTCCTCAAGCATGGCAGGATGCGGTAGCAGCTACTTTGGCAGACGACATAACTTTGGCAGGCGACGTACCAGGCGAACAGCGTTGTGTTGTAACCGGCCGCTTTACAGTCGAAGTAGCTCACCTCAGTCCAAGGGAAGAAAAAACATGGTTTCTTAACAATGCGATGACCATATACGATTCGCATTCAGCCTCCAACCCAACCGATTGTCCTTCCAACCAAATCATTCTCGACTGTTCTTTACATACAGCTATGGACAAACAACTTTGGGCCTTTGCGCCACGGCATCAACGTTTTGCGGTTCAAACGATTTCCCTTCCCCAAAATCTTACACACAACATGCTGAGCGAATTTGTTGACGAGTATCACGGCCGGTACCTACGGCCCGGGGGAATGTTTGGGACAGAGGTTGAATACTTGTTCGTACGATCTGCTTGGACAGTACTTTGCCTGGTCAAAGGGTTTATCTTGATGGGAAGACCGATGACTACATTGGCAAGATATCGAGTATGGGAGGATGGTATGGCTAGGGTGAAGGAGCAAGGTATGCTTGCTAAGGATATTGATCTGCTCTACGGCGGAGGCGGCACTAGAAGTGCTAGCCCTCGCAAGCGCAGCCGTACATCATCTGAGCAGGGCCGGGATGAGGTTGAATGGGGCAGCGCGTACGATTGGAACGGGCGCGGGTGGCGCGACACGACTGTCTCTCGGGATGAGGAGAGGTGTCGCAAGAGGACACGCGACGAGGATGTGCGGCATGGAAAACGGCGGCGTGTCTATGCCAGTGATATCTCTGCTGTGCCGTCGTTGGCAGAAATTGGCTCTTCTGCTTCTGTCTCAAGTGTAAGCCCAAGACTAGGTCCAAGCCTGCCAGTTGAGCATGCAAGATCGAAGGAGGACCACGACCAGGACTATGATCTGGAACAGGACCCAGAGTTGCAGCTTGGTCAAGCTTCCAGCACACCATGCCCATAGGGGCCAAGCCAATACGATGTCATAACATGTAGATATCATATGCTGCTGACATCCTAGCACCTAACACTACACATTCTAGTGCAATAGTTCGGTCGTGGTTGGCCAACTTGGTCAGTTCTACGTCACTCTTCTATGCCTCGTTCTTGCAATAAATATTAAAACCCATGTGTCCAAGTGGTATGCTGTGGTCGCTAAGGAACTTGGCAAGATATGTCGAATAGACAGCCTGACAATAACATGCAAGTATTACTTACATATGAACCTAGGTATAATGTAAATAGTTGGATATACACACAGGGGAACAGCACGAAGGAAGAGTGGATGCAAAGGGTAGTCTTATCATGATTTATTGACATTCTAGATGCTGACTAGGATAGGTCAGCACAGCAATGAATTCCTATGTATACCTTAGCTCGTGAAGTCCGACCGGTCTCCTGGATGATGAACTCTGTACTGTAGGCCAGAACATCCTCAGCAGATGGCACTGGTGTTGAGTACGTCGGTGGTGGTACATCAGAGCGGATGGCTGGCCAGTCGAAGCCCTCAGCTAAGAGGGAGTCTTCTCCTGGCTGACGGTCCTGTGGATCCACGAAACCCTTAGAGAAGTACAACTTCTTTGGAGGCATGTTGATGCCAGTAGGTAGTGGGGAGGGATATCTATATAGGAGAGCAGCACCCGGAAGTTCCGAGAGTCAGACTTCGGGTGTTTGAACACGATGAAAGTGGGCGAACGGCTTCTCATCTTCTTGTGTTGGCTGCATTGCCAGAGTCTTTATTGTGAACAAGGAGGTCTCCGTATCACTAGCTCTCGAATCGTAACAGTGCATAGAAAAGGCCAGTTTATTCGGGAGAGTATATGAAAGAGGAAGATGAAGAGAAAAGAAGAGAGAGTGTGGAGGAGAGGAGGCTAGCTAGCGGTGGCTATATGTGATGCCCTAATATGTAGTCCCTGGTTGCTTATGTAAGATAAGTGGGGACGTCCGAGGTCCCATCAGTCTTATAGAAGAGGGTGTAATATATTATAGCATGCCTACCTGAGTAGGTAGGAGAGACAAGCACAGAGGCTTGTTGCTGCACATGCTATATCTCGTTCACAATGCACGCTGCCACCCAGAACAGGCAGCGGCGTGCACTTCAAAACGAAAGGCTGGAAATAACACATCAAAGCTTGACCTGAGCCAAACGTGCATATGCACGCACGGCGTGGCAAACCTTGCTGGAAGGACTACTTGGATGCAAGCTACCTAGGTACAGCTGAGGTTATTTTAGACATTAAACTTTGCTCAGGTCGGGTTCAGGGCTTGATCTCGAGCGCTTAGGCATGGCTTGAGCCGCAACCTTGAGTTTGATACTCAAGCGCCGGGCCGAAAACGCCAACGTGACGGAACTCCCAGCGTTCGCCAGGCCGCAACATTCGACCGGAAGACTACGTTTTCGGACCACGATCTATCGAACTGGACATCCGGCCCTTAGTGGCTTATTTAGAGGAGAGCAGACGGGATCCCAAGCTCTCCACTAGGTATGGTCGTACGTGATATTGGTACTATTCACAAGGTTTATATGCCAAAATATGATTGCAGAATGGGGAGTGGAGACAGGCCAAAAGCGGCTTGCCACTGGAGGGTTGTCTTCTACAAAATGTTTGGTATAGATTTGGTCTGCAAAGAGTACCCAAGAAGGAGCTAGTGAATCTCAAACAGTGTGAGGAACGGATCATTTGTTTGCCGTGTTCTGAAACATCTTCCAAGGGTCTCTTTTGAGACCAAGGCAAAGAGGTTTGAGGATGAGCAATGTGTCCTATCATGCCTTCCCAATTAGGAAATGCTAAAGCCCGCATGCACGACTGATGTCTCCAATCTGTACAACCTTTCAACAGCTGCTTCTAGCCCTGCCATCCGCTATGTGAATATTTTGGCGGCTTAGATGCTCATCTCCTCCTATTTCAGGATACCCAATTGTTTGCATTGCAAAAGTGCTCAGACTAGCAATTTAATGGGCGAGTTTCAACATGTGTACACTGGCTTCCTGAACAATTAAATTGAAAAGCAATTGCTGTGTGACTGCTGCACATGTCTCCGAAGAGCTCAAGGAGTCATATGAGTACCATAGTTGAAACCTTTTGAATACTTGAGTGGAATTGTAAGTATAAACAGTGCAATCAGTGCAATTGCAATGGTGACGTGGGCATAGGCATGGACAAGAAGGTCATACAATCAGTGCTGAGTACTTATAAGTAATTAGGCTGCAAAACCAGTAGACAAGCCAGTAATCCAAGAAGTCTTTGCAACAATTGAGCAATGGTTGGTAGATGGGTTAGTCCAACAGTTGATCTGTCACTTATCGAATCAGGGCCGTGCATGTAGTGCAGTGGTCGAGGTGATTATAAGATACAGTCCCCTGGGCTCTTCAGCCATTATAGGCAGCTGTATCTTCAATCCTAGCCTCTAGGAGCCTTGGTTCTCGTTTGCACCTTTTTTTTTCTTCTTTTTCTTTTTGTTGGAGACAGTTGCCATGGACCTGATTATCATTGCGAGACAGAATGATATATTAGTCAAGCATGTATACTTTACAGAGAATATGCACGGTATGTCTTGCACATTTAAATGTGTCAAATGGTGATGACCACCGGGCCCGACTTGCACTGTGCCGGGCATGCCTCATGTACTTGCAGCAAGTCGACATAATCACACGAGGGGACACCTGATTGAATATGAGGTATCGAATACAGCTCATGGTTTCAGAGTACTTTTCCAATATTCTCAGCGTATATTCTTCTTTGCTCTGGCTTCTTACATTGCACTATTGGCTGTCTTCAAGGTCCTTTATATGTGTCCCTTCCTCTCCCCAGACTGAAGAAATTGTTCGGCACAGCTTTCCTAACGGCTGCGAAAACATGGACCCCAGATGGCTGACGTGATAGCACACAATAAATTGAGCAGGCCAATGGTCACCTGTAGAGCATCTCCGAGGCTTAATGGTGTTCCAGGGTCGAACGACCTCGGGGCGTTGTCTCTCTGCTGATTCATTATCTTCTCTCTCAGCTGTCTGTCCCATTGTCCGTTCTCGTTCCGATGAAAGGAAACGCGTTACTCACGATTGGCATCGTATAGGCTGGAGACGCCAGTACGATGAGGATTGCAAGGCCGACGGCTTTGTATGTGTTCATGACGCTGAGGTCGGGAGAGTGTAGCTAGATGGTGTTGGGTCGGTTCAAAGATGGATGTGAAGCAGAGCCTGCAGTAGCGTCTGTATGCTGCATTCTCAGTGCCATGAGCTTCCCCTTATAAGCACTTTTTTTTTTTCCTCATCACAGCCGATTTTGAGCGATGGCCAGGTGGTGAGATATTCGAGCAAGGAACAACGAGACTCACGGGCTGATGAATGATAATCCTATCCCCAAGACGGCTCAAGAGGAATGCTTTGTGGTATACGATGAATCGTTCCTCACAATAAGAAAAAAGCGTTGTAAGCAGTGGCCTATTGTGGGAATCTCGATACAATGTGTAGATGTTTGGAGATGGGCGCTGGCTATATGTATCGAACCTTTTCTGCCCAAGGACTTGAAGAATGACTCTGGGATGTCATGATATGTCTTCCACCCCATGCAGCATCCATCCCGCTGCAGTTGACGGTACGTATGAAAATCCCTGTCAGAATCCGCTGCATTGTCGTCCACCCCCAATCGTGAATCTTTCTGTGATTGTGGCTTTAATTTGACGCCTGGCAAGGCGCAAGTAAACATGCACTGTACTGCAGATGCGGTATTACCAATTTGCCAAGGCCAGTCGAAGCCTCTTCTTTCGTCTTGTTGCCAGTCTGTGGCTTTGTCAATTTGTCAGTGAGGTCTCCGGGCCTGGGGTCAACGGTGCTCAGCCACCACTACCACCCCCGCCGTTGTTGCCCTGCCACCCTTGTTAGGAGAAATCTACTATGCTAAGTATTTACGTATGTCTGTACTTACCCAACCAGACCAACCAGTGTCAATCTTAGCCTGCTTTTGCAATTCTTCCACCCCACTCTACGCCTATTTGGTCTGGTTCCACCCCTCCTCTTGAACTCATTCCACCCCGTCCCCTCTTCCACCTCTTCCACCTCTTCCACCTCTTCCTCTGGAAACTTTCCACCCCGTCCTTGGTCCAGTAGGATCAGTGGTGTTTCCCTGATCTTGACGTTTCCACCCCGTGGACTGGTCGTTCTTCCACCCCGTGTATAGCTTACTGACATTTCCACCCCGTTACCCATATTACAATTCCGCCCCGTTACTAGGAGGCCATTCACCGAAGCTCTGCGGCTTGTCTACACTTCCTTCTCGAGGCCAATATATAACGAGGTGCTTCGCATTGCGTCTCGACATAATTCCTGTTTGCCTTCCCCCAGATTCCTGAGCATTTTATTTCCCTGATCACCCACTCACTAACTTGGATCTCCTCAGTGAACCCCTTGAAGGTAGTCCGTCCCTTTTCACAGCATTTCTTCCCTCCTCACAAACACAAGAGATGCCATCCCGCGGCAGCCGAGTCGCATTTAAGTCTCTTGGAGCCAGCGAAGTTGAGACGGGTGCTGCTGGGTCAGGCCACAAGCCTAGGACACGCAACAAGGACTCCTCCATGTGCGTTGACTTTTCTCGTTGTCAAAAAATCTTGAACCACCACAGCCGTGTCTGTTTTGTGTGGCGTCGTAGCCGTCATACCCCAATCAAGACAAATAAACCTATTCGCTAACAACCTGAATCCCAGCCCTCCGTCACGGCAGCGCCAGAATTGTTCTCAGTGCGGCAAACAGTTCTCCAGGGCGGATGCTCTTCTCAGACACTGCATAGCAAAGCACGTCCGTCCGGACGAGAGTCCAGCATACTACTGCTTGGTACCGGGCTGCGACGCTCGAGACCACAAGTTTCGTCGCCATGACAAGTTCTTGGCACACTTCAAGAGGCACCAGCTCAATCGCAAGCCGCGGTACACGGTGGACTATGTCTGGAGCCCCCCTCCCGACGATGATTCCACGGCAGATGTGGACTCTACTGCTGCTGCTGCAGCCCCAGAGGTCGTGTCCACAACAGCAGACGTCGTTGCCTCGCCTCCCATTTTGCTGGAGGACCAGCTCCAGGCCATCTCCCCACAGCCTGCGTCCCTGTCCCCGAACGGACTGGCGGTGCTGCATGCAGAGCACTCCATCACGCTGGTCGAGCTCGAAGCAAGGGAGGCAGACCTTGAGAGCAGGCAGGCCGAGCTGAAGGAGAAGCAGCAGAAATTTATCCAGACCAGCGATCTCAGGTCCGACCTGATGATGTTCCTGAACAAGTGGGACATTCTCGGTGACGACAATTGCGAGACGGTGCTCACCGTGTCTCTGCGGGCGGCGGCGAGGGCGGCAGAGACACATTGTGTCAGTGCAGGACAGGAGATGGAAGAGGCATCAGAGGCAAGACGCCACGCGACAGATCTTGTCGAGGCCATTGCCAAGAGAGCGAGCGTGCTGAAGCGGGCCCTTGATGCGAAGACGCATCTGCAGACACCCGAGGAGAGAGCCGAGAGGACGCAGCTATGGTGGCTGCTGTCGCGTACATGACAAGTCTTAAGGGCAGATTCCTTGGGGCCAAGATTCTCACTGGTGCGGTTTCTATAGAGAACAGTGCAACCATGAGGGGGAATGACTGGCTAGAACAGGGCTGAGATTTCAACCCACTGCTGCCTAAATTTGGCCATGTCCTAGTTGGTCGATTAAACCCTGTCGGCAACTAATAAATACCCGTTACAGCAATTCATTACTGACCCTTTTGCGAGACCTCCGTTTTTTTACTTTTAGTTTCCTCGAACCTCGTCGCACAACTTGTGATAACTTACTGTACACACAAAGAATCACATGGCCACAATGGCTGCTCAGCCCAACCAACAACCCTCCTCCCCTTCTACTTACAGGCACACCCTCCAGGGACTCATTCCTGAGCTGATGCTGCAGGTATTCGAGTCCCTCCCGGACCAGTGGAGTGTCATCGCCCTGCGCCTGACCTGCCACCAACTCAACAACCTCTACCTCGCCCACGAGACGCGCATCAGACAGTCCCTCATAGAACACCTCGTCGCGCCGTTCCGCGACTACTACACCTTCCTCACAACCCTGTACCTCCCCGAGGCGGCCCTGAAACACCCGCCAAAGGGAGGCTGGCCCAACATCACGCGCGAGACATGCAGCGGCTTCGGCAAGACGGACATGGTCATCGACGTGCTGCGGCACCTCCCCTACATCGAGGAGCACCGCAACCTCCACAGCGTCGACTTCAACTGCGACGTCCTGGACTACTCGACGGCCACCGGTGAGGACTTTAGCGGCAGCGACCTCAAGTCGGGCGAGACCTGTCATGCGTTTAACGGGCCGGTGTCGAGGCACAGGGTGGTTATCTTCGAGGGGTACGAGAGCGGCGGGCTGGACATGATGCTCGACACCATGACGGGCGTGGTGTATGAGGAGTTCATCCGGATGGACTCTGGCAAGGTCCTCCCCGTGGAGAGGTATCTCAGGGAAAAGAAGCAGGAGTACGCCGGCTTGCAGGCGCTGTTTGTACCCGAGTGTGACGGCTGTGTCGTGCGGCTCGGAGAGGAGCAGGAGGAAGGGGAGCACCGTCTCGGCTTTGAGGAGCTGGAGAGCAGAGGCGCGCCCAGCAGCCCTGGGACGTTCTTTGGCTCGCAGGAGGACGGGAGGTGGGTCCGTCACTTGTACCACAAGTTTGGCTGGCCAGACAAGGATTGGAGAAAAGAGGAAGCAATGGAAGCTGTCCGGGCTTTTGCCCAGATGAGGGACAGCGAGTACCACACTCAGTTGCCTTCAAGTGGACAGACCCGCTCCATCTCTGCACCTCCCAACTTCCTGCTGCAAAATTTTTATTTCCAGCTGCTGCTAGGAATACTATTTTCTGCCCTACTATGTTTTGCTCTGGTGGAGGGTGTGGAGGCCCTCAGGATATTGAGTGGAACAGGGCATGGGTCCTCGTACATATAAGGAAATCATTCTCTTTAGATTTTCTTGACGAGATGATAACAATCCCAGCAACTTTTCTTCTCCTTTCTATTTTGAACCCTCTGGACAGGTCCAAGGCAGGTTTTCCACCCTGTGCTTGTGCTCATGTAGCCTTAGTTTGCTGTCCTCTTTTCTCCCAGCACGCTTGGGTTGCATGAGCTCTTCTTGCCCACTGCTGAGATGTTCATCGTTTCTTTCAGAGCGATAGCGCCCTAGTCCTGGTTCCCCTTCACCACTCAAACCTGACATATCTCCCCATCCTCCTCACCCCAGGGATCCAAGAACCCAACCAGAACCCCCACCGCGCCAGATACGGCAACTCCACATTCTCCGCCGCAGCAATAGGAAACACCTCGTCCCGCAGCCTCAACCCCGCCTCGCCGCCCTCCAGCTCCCGCGGCTCGTCCACGGCCCAGTAGAACCTCGCCCCCGTCTGCGCCACGATGGGCTCGAGCCTCTGCAGCACCACAGCGAGCCAGGACAGGCAGTCAAAACACACCTGGTTTCTGCTGCTGCTGCCACCGCCACCGTCACCGCTCCTCCTTCCCCCTTGTTCTCCTCCTCCTCCTCCTCCTCCTCCTCCTCCTCCTCCTGCCGCCGCCGCCGTCGTAAAGTATCCCGTCAGCTGACCAAGCAGGTCCCGACCTTGCGCTGGTTGCAGGTACATCGTCAGCCCCTCGAACACGACCATGGTCGGCCGGCTGCGAGGCAATGCCAACCTCGCCAGCCAGTTCGCCTCCGTGACGTCGACGGCCTTGCACTCGTACCGCACGCGAGCTGACGACAATGACGACGACGACGACGACGACGACGACGCCTTGGTGGTGGTGTTGTTGTTGTTGGGGTGTGGTATACCCAGCTTCTCTCGCAGCTCCACCACGTTCGGCAGGTCACAGTCCACCCAGTGCACCAGCAGCCCAGTGTCGTCATCATCATCATCATCATCATCATCATCATCATCATCATCATCATCATCACCACCACCACGACAGCAATACTCCTCGAGGACCCGCAGCGCGCGCGTGTCCAGCCCCGCAGCCAGATGCAGCACCGTAACAGCCGGCTCGCCCCGGCCCCGAGCCTCGCGCAAGAACTCGCCCACCCACCGATCCAGGAACCGCGCGCGGAGGGCAAAGACGGCGCACCGGGCCCCCGTGAGCCGCAGCCCTGTCCAGTGGTAGTCGAGCTGCTGCACCAGGCGGGCGGCGTGGCGGTCGGCCAGGATCGGCGTGGCTGCTCTGGCGTCGACGGCGCGGGCGTAGAGGATGCCGAGGAGTGTCTCTGGGACGCCGCTTAGGTTGGGGTTTAGCTTGGTGGGGGGCGTCGTCTCCATTATTGTTGTGTGGATGGGGGGAGAGAGAGAAAGAGAGAAGAAGGAAAAGAACGCTTTCCCTTGTTGTTGCTGGTAGACTAGGTAAGGACTCAGTGATTCAATGCTATACAATACGAGGATTGAGCATGGCATAACTACTAAAGGAATTACTTACCAAATAAGGATTGGGCCCACACCCCTTTAGTCTTTTTCCGTACATCTTTCTGATCCGCAGTCATTTCGTTGGATATCTTCCATGGCACTCCACACGGCATTTCACCCCTCGTAGATACGGGCAATAGGACAAGAAAAAATCGTCAAAAATGATCGTACCGGGGTATCTCTATTAACGCTACTAAAGCAAGGTCCTAAACAACAGAAGCAACGCACACCAGACACGCTCAAACTATCAACCATCATCCAATGCCTCAGAACGATACATCGCTCCTCTCTCTCTCTCTCTCTCTCTCTCTCTCTCTCTCTCTCTCCGTCGTCGTCATCCCAGGTCATCATCCAATCCCTTCTGTCGTTGCAGTCATTCCACTCCATCCTCCCCTTTTCGTGTCCAGACGATTGTGGACTGGATTATATCGATAATCGATGCGTGTTGAAGGTTGAAGAGAGAATAAGAAGAAAAAAGGTGAAAATGAATAAGAAAATGAAACGGATCCAGTCCATATACCCCATCATTAATTACTCAGGTTGAATGTTCCCTGATCTTTTCCATGGTCCCCCAGGAAGAAGCTGAAAAGAAAATAGCAGAGTGTCCGTGAAGACTACCGAATCTCGACCCGCTGAGACTGCCTTTTCCTGCCAACCCGTAGCAAAATATGAGAAGAAACATAAGGACTGAGATGTTGACCCCTGGAAATGCTTGTAGATGTACTGCCTGTGTGCCACTCCATGCTTGGGCTTCCAAATTGATAGTTGCATCACTCCTCTCAACAGTGTTGGTGGCTGTGTTTAGGCTTGCGCCTTCTTCGTCTTGTACTTTTCTTTTCTCCATCCTTTGATGTGTGAAATGGCCTTGGGGGAATAACCTAAAATGCCGATGTCGTTTTGTTATTGTTTGAACAATTTCGTCTTGGTCCTGCGCCGTGCTCATGTGAAATGGTAGCGATAAAACGAAAAGATCAGAGATGGAGGCTTCGATCCAAGTCGTAGCATGAATCGTCTCACTGTCTGATCGTTGGTGGTTCGTAGGTTAGAGTGGTGTGTGTAGGTGAATGATGTCCGTTGTATGCCCGCAGCATATGCTTTTCAATTTTATCGCGAAGAGGTCCGAGGACTCGCTCCTCTAGATGCTGGCAACCCGACTTCTATCCGGGATGCGCGCATGACAAACCATCAGCTTCAAGCTTGTTTGCCACTCCTCACACTCAGCAAGCAGGGCCTGGTCGCTCCACATAGTCTTGCCCCTGCCGTCCGGGGCGACGCTCTCGTAGCACCGTTCGTACCACCAGCGCCCGACCTTGGCAACCATTTTGGTGATGCCCTCGTCCGCGCCGGGTCCTTCGGCGTTCATCATCTCCGCGAGGCTGCGCGTCTCCTTCTTGCTTCTCCTGCGGGTGGTCGCCGCTGCCGTCGCGGGACCCCTCGAGGCAGAAGAAGTACCGGCCGCCGCCCTGGAGGACGAGGAAGACGAGGACGACGAGTCCATCTTGTTGTCAGTGGAGGGGGGCGAGGGGGCAGTGGCGCTGGCCAGAGGGACACCAACGCGGCAAGTCTTGATGTCGGTGAATCCCTTCCGTCCCAGCAGCCGGAGGATCAGGTCTGAACTGGACCCAAGGCTGATCTCAGGCGCGCGGATGTGGATGCGCTCCTTGAGCCGGCGCACTGCGCGGCGCGCGTGGTTGCCCATGTTGTTCATGTCGACGTCCAGGATAGACAGCTCAATGTAACCGCCGGGCTTGAGCACGCGGCGGGCCTCGTTGATGACGTTGCGGTAGTGCGACTCGGGCGCCGCCGCAGGAAAGCGGTAGACAACGCAGGTGAAGCTCTGGGGCCCAAAGGGTAGCTTGTCGGCGTGCGACTTAAATTGGATCTGGTGGTGGTTCGGCGGGCTAAGTGGGAAGCTAGAGCGTGCGTCTGGCTCGGGGGTCGGGAGCGGTGCCCGCGGCGAGAGGTTAAAGAAGGTGGCTGCTGGGTAGGTCTCGGCTGCGTAGAAAGACCAGTCATCGTTCCCGAGGCCATCGATGACGAGAATGGAGTGCCGCTTGAGGGAGCCAACAACGGGAACCAGCTCATCTCGCACGGGGCTGAAGAGGACATGGCCAAAGGTGAGCCACTTGCTGACTGTCATGGACCCCACGCGAAGGTTGACCTGCGCTGTCGTTGAGTGGTCGTCGGAGCCCTGGCTGCTCGAGCTGGTGTGAGAATGACGGGCTGGCAGTCCCTTCTGCGATGATGATGCTGTGCTCATGCGATGACTGGCAGGGCGAGAGACCTCCACACTGTTGGTGCTGCTGCCGTACCCACTAACAAACTCACTCAATGAGAACGGTGATGACTTGGGAGCGCCGGCCGCCTCCAAGACTTCGTTGATTTTGGCTGTCGTGTCGGAGCTGTACACACTGGACGAAGTCTGACGCGCAGCCTCCTCCTGCTCCTCCTGCTCCACCTCATACTGGGCATCGAATTCAAACTCTGTCTCACAATCCGATTCCGCGGCGTCGAGCTGTGCGTTCATCTGTGCACCCATGTTTCCGTTGATGATAGGCGTCTCGAGCGGCTGACCAGTACTTGTCTTGGCCAGGCGTCGGCCCCATACCTCGAGATGAAAGGGCCTACCGAGGGAGGAGCTTGTAGACGGGTGGCCCCTCGACACATCTTCGCCAAGTAGATCATTGTACTCGTCCCAGACTTCATCCTCGGCCAATGGCGCATTCGGGTCTGGAACCACGGCTGTGGCCTCGGAGTAGTTCAGCTTGCCTGAACAGCTCGAGTCTGTGGAAGACGTGCCTTCGAGACTCTTACGCGGAGGGAAGACCATAAACTCCCTCTGAGGAGGGCTGACTTCGGCCTGCAGATCATGAGAAGCCCGAGGTGACGAGCCGCTGCTCAGTTCGTCTGTGGTCAAGGCTTGAGGGGGTTCCTGAACAGCAGGTTCTTGAACTGGTTTGGGCGGTTCGGGAGGGCTTGGGCCCTTGGCAACAGGTTCCTCGGCCGGCTTTTGATTGTCGGCCGGTGATTGCAGCTGCACGCTGCTACGGTTAAAGGGTCGGGAGAAAGACCTTGGAGAGGGTGGTGGAGGCTCAGAGCGGCCAGCAACCTTCGGGATGCGGCCAACCTGGGGTAATCTGCTTGGTCGGGCACTGGGCGGTTTGGATGTCGTTACAGGAGGCTGCGGTACCCGACATGCTTGTGAAGGAGCGTTCCTTAGGTTTCGGGACGACTGAACCGTGGTGATGCGCCTCGGCTGCTGAAGGGTGGTCTTGGGCTGTCCCGGCCTAACAGTCACATTCTGCTGGGACTCCTGTGAACGATTTTGCAACACTGCAGCAGGCTGTGGCCGCGTACCTTCGCTTGCAGCAGCGACTGGTTTGGGGGAGGGTGGCCTTGAAGCCTGCGCCTCACGCAACACATCCTCGACATCTGCGAGTGTCTCCTCTTCCTGCTCCGAGGAATCGATCATGGTGTAGAACGCCATAGGTTGCTTCTCAACAACTGTGACCTTGGCTGAGACCTGAGATGCTTCAGACGTTTTCTTCTTGCTGCTGCTGACAAGCTGCGTGGTGGATCGCCCAAAGATGTTCCATTTTCGGGGCGACTTTGGCCTCTTCGTCAGCTTCTTGGGCACTACTACTGAGGCCTCGGAGTCGGTTCTGCCCATTGACGGCCTCGGGTTGAGCGTCGAATCGTCCGACATGAGCGTCGTGTCGTAGCTGTTGATAGATGGGGTCGTTGTTCCTGGTCGCACAGTGATAGGCTTCGGTACACGTGCACTCGCTGGATTGGACGTCTTCAGGCGCTGCATCGATCTCCGAACAGCCAAGGTAGGCTTCATGGTCAGGACGTCAGAGTCACTGGAGTCAGAAGGCAGTCGTCGGTGTCCCCGAAATGGGGCAGCGGTCGCGCCTCCTCGGGGTAGGGCAGAAGGCCACAGGGTATTGCGAGCTTCCTGAGAGGACACTGACACGTCGGAGTTGTTCCTCGAAGCGCTCAGGCTGGGACGGGACTGGGCCATGCTCTGATTGCTCTCGCTCCGATCAAGGTCCGAGCTAACGTTGCGGTTGTGAATGATCTCACCTCCAGCAATGACGACGGGGCTCATGCGCTCTGCCAAGAAAGGGTCCGACGGTAGAGTGCTGGCAAGGCTCTCCTGGGAGGACATAGTTCCAGGGATGGCTCGCAAGGCGTTGGTGAGGTTGCTGCTCCGTCGCCGCACTTGGCCAAGACGGCCATACCCCTCGTGACCAGTACCAGCAGCAGGGCCTTTACGAGGCTGCTTTTCTTTCTTCTCAGCGGGAGTTGTGCTCTTGTTGCGCCTACCAAAGAGCGGAAACCGGGACTTCAGGCTCGAAGACACACTAGGGCTTGGTGTGCGAGTTGGCGCACGTGAGGAGACTTGCTTCGCCAACGGGGGGTCAGGTCCCGAGGCTGCGGCATGAGGGGCTGGCGTAGGTTCTCTTCCTATCCTGGGAGCAGATGAAAGGGCAGTCGGAGTCGGCATGTTTTGGCCGCTTCGACGTCTCTCTGACAGAGAAGTCGAAGATAGATTGCTGTGGACCACGGGCAATGGCAAGCCTATCTGCGATTGCAGATCTGTGATGCCTTCTCGACTGGGCCGGATGGGCGGGGTGGCCCTGGATAAAGGTGACCCTGCGATCTCCCGCGAGGGGTGCGTGACACCTTCGGCCTCTCCACGAACCTGGTTATAGGCGTGCTCTGATGATGATCGTGGAGCAGAAATGGCAGCGCCACGGGGCAGGGCGCTCTTCTGCTGCTGCTGCTGCTGCTGGTCTCTGATGAAGGCAGCGGCGCGGATGGTAGAGCCAGACGAAGATGAGTTGGAAGACTCC